CCTGTGAGATCCTGTGATAACCTGAAACGGTAATGGGAGACTCTCGTGGATCAAAGGAACGATCCAGTAAGGCTGAAGAAAGGTTCCTGGAACAAAGAAGAACAAGTTAGAAGAGCGCCGGAGTATTTTTCAGCGTATCCCCTCCGACGATCAAGTCAGTCTTTAAGAAAGAGAGGAAGAAGAAAATACTGAGTATGTATTGTAGCAAAGGTTTTTTGTTGCATACCATCTTGCCTTTTGCGAGGAGTATTTATACCTCAAAATCTCATGATTGTTGTTAGTGTAGTCAGTAGGTGATCATTAGGTACAGGCAGTGTGCACACTGATTCTGATGAGGAATGTCTTCTCTTTTAACTGCTCGGGATCCCGAGCAATCAATACTGTGTCATCGGGCTGCCGACTGTTCAATAAGCTCCCCTCGGGGAGGACGCAATAAATGCCCAGCCTTAGAGGCATTTATTGCCTTTCAATTTCGAGCCTTACTGCATTGAATGCAGTCTCATCAAGGGAATTGCGTAATTAAATACTTGTTTTCCCAAGTCGTGTGTCAGCAAGGGCATGCGGTTTTTCTGTCTCCGATGTGACACAATATGCCACGCGTCCATTCCCCATTGGTTGTGGCCCCTACCTTCCTATGCCTTCTGACACCAATTGTGTAAGACGAAGTCATGATAGCTAACCTAGCCTAGCCTAGGCTAGTGACCTGTACATTAATAGCCTCTGCTAGAGCAGAGAACAGCATCCTGGACGAGGGGGGTACATCTCGGTACCGAGGAAGAGGTACATCTCGGAGCCGAGGGAAGAGCCTAGCGGCCGATGAACCATATCAGACCGAGGGTACGTGTCGGTACATAAAAAGTACTGGGATGCCGATCGATCTCCATGATCAGCACCTCGGGGGGAGAGGGGACTTGTGACCCGATGGGTACGTGATCTCGATAACAAGGAACAGTGAAACCGAGGATACGTGTCTTCATCTTGGAGTATTCTGGAAAATGTCACATCAACTAGGCACCTGATCAGGTCGCTAGTGGGTACCTCCTCCATAGGAAGTGTTCACTTATATGGCAGGGGGGAAGACGACTCTCTTCCGATGTGGGATTGCCTTAGGAAAGGGTCCTATTAGCGAAGAGAGGTAAAGGCTACTGGGGCTCGGTGCCGCCAGGTCAGCCGGAATCCTTCAAGTGGAGGGATGAGATTCGTAGCGATTTCTACCCCTTACACTAACCAACCTTATCATCTACTGACTAAGCGAGCGCCTCACTCCACTCTTCTCCTCTTGCCTCCATCGGCTTTCATCGTTCAAGCCTCTACGTCTATAGCTCAGGCCTTCATCGTTCAGTCCCAACCTCCCTATGTACTCTCTCTCTTTCTCTATTTGGGCGCAATCTGGTGGCCTTCATCGTTCAGGCCTTCATCTAAAGATCTGATTTTCTTTTTTTAAGCATCAAGTTAATGAACCTCAAAACCCTAACTTTCAAGCATCGTTCAGGCCTTATCTATTTTTTTTTAGCATCATTCAAACCTTCTCTATTTTTTTTTTAAAGCTTTCAAAACTTATCCAGTTAACATAAAAAAAATTGTTGTTGTAGTTGTTTTAGGTTTTAGTGCTATTGATTTATTGTGTTGTTAAATTGGTGCATGTTATTTAATTGAATTGTTAAAATGATCTAAAAATTAATAGCTACAAAAGTGTTTATCGTACTTCCTACCCGATTAATCCGGTAGGAAGTCGGGTAGGAATACCACATCTGATCAGGTAAGGTAGGCCATAAAAAAATTCTTCCGCAAAGTATCAGGTAAAAAGACGAAAAACTAAATTTTATACCCGTAAGGCAGAGTGAACACCCCTACATATGAGAGAATTTAATCAATGTGCCAAACCAATTTAAGGTTGAGCATTAGATCGTCTCGACTAAATTAAGTATGGGCAGAGTAAGAATTACCCTGAGACATCATCTTATTTCATTCTCATGCTTTCAAGATATGTGCGACAGAAAATTAATCGGTTCACTGATGTTCTTGATTTAGAAGATTCTGATTAAATTGACTGATGATTAGAGATGTATAAGCCTATTTAAGAAATACTCTATTAAGCGTGACTCACCCTTTATGGGAACAACATTTCAGGTGCGGAACAAACACCCGTAGACGGCCCTCACTTGGGCCCTTGTTGATGAAGAAGCCAATTTGTGGCATTTAAATTATATTTTTGCAAATCAACTGTGTAAATTATTTTAAACTTGTAAATTGTATTAAGGGGACATGTAATGGACTCTTATGAACTATATTTTGAGTATATTTAGATTTTATATGAGTTTGAATAAACTCAGAATGAGATTGGATGGTTAAAAGTTGAAGATTGAAAAGAATTGGGCAAAATCTAGGCCTAGGTACTAGTACCTATGTGACTAAGTACCGATACCACGTTGTTACCAAAGCTTCAAGTACAGGTATCTCAATGGACAGTGGGCTCAGTTACCAGTACCTAAGTAATTAAGTACTGATATATATGTGATTGAGTACAGGTACCTAACAAAGAGAAGGGACTTGGCAGACAAAAAGCTCAGGTACCGGTACCACGTGTACAAGGTACAAGTACATCTTCCAAAAATTTTCATTTAAATATAACTCTGTCAAGCCTTCAAATCTTGAGCTCTCTTGTTGGGATGATGTAATTGGTAAAACATTAAGTTCTAATTAATGGCGATGCACTTTGGAAAGGTCAAGTGGTCGATATCTGCACAGGTTATGCGCTTGAGAGTACTCTGGTACAAGGGAGACTTTGTTCAAACTCTATTTTGGTTACAATCCCAATGAAGGGGATGTGATAACATGGTGTTGGGTTACATGTCATTCACAAGTACTTCTGCGGGTTGATGGGTGATCAAAAAGCTGAGAAAAGGCCCCCGAATTTTGGGGCATCACAAATGCAATGTGCACTATAGTGACCATGCTCACCACAAGTAAAATACACAAATAATTTGGTTTTGGGTTTCTTCTTAACTGGCTTCTTTTCTAGCTTACCCTCACTGTTACTAGTCTTTTTAAGACTTGTGCTCACTTCAGTGGGTGAAGGGTTGAAATCATCCTTTATAAACACAATCTTGGAAGAAATAGAGGTGTTGTGTTCATTTGTTGAAACTTAATCCTCTTTTGTCACCAACACTTTTCTCTATAACCAACATTTTATCCAGCTTTTCGGTACTTTGGGAAAGTTTTTTTGAGAGCTCTTATAACTCATGCAGGTCTATATCAAGTTTAACAATCTTAAACTCAAGACTCTTCTTAGACTCTAAAAGCCCTTTGTGCTCTCTCTCAAGGAAGCTCACCTTGTCATGGAGGGACTTTTTCTCCTCCTTGAACCCAACAAAATGAGCCTTGGACTAAACTAAGTCCTCATATAGTTCTTTTTGTTCATCTTCACTCGTTTAGAGTCTCGTGCTCAATGAAAGTAACATCTCTGCTTATTTTAGACACTGCTCATAAAAACTTGTTATAAACATCTTTGAGGTCTTCAACACTCGGTCTCATCCTTACTAGTAAAGACTTCTACCACTAAGTCATCTACATCTGTAGTGGGACTAAACTCAACTTCCTCATCTTTATTATTAAAAGTTTTTCCTTTTTTTTTTTTGTTTTAGGGGGGGAGTGGGAAGTGCGAACCTACAAAGGCCACGAAATTTTCTTCTATCACTTGACAAAGAGGAGTTAGCACTTGTAATGGACTCACTTTGGCCTTTAAGGATTTCCTCTTCTCCTTGGGCATGTCCTTTTTACCACTAGGACATTTCGTAGCTACATATCAAACCTTGACACTCGTAGCATTTGAGACCTTGCCGTTCCTCTCAACCTCATGTCGATAAGCTCTACCCCTACTTTCTTTTCCCTTTCTATGAGGTCTAGGTCTACTTGAATTTCCTTTCGACCTTGAACACTTGACCCCACTTACCTTAAAATATTTGTTAAATTTTTGAGAAAGATAAGCTATGTCCTCTTCTCCTAATCGATGTGACTCAAATTTAACTCCTCCTTCGATCTTAGAATTTAATGCAACACCTTCACTTTCTTGGGTAGAAGAAGATTCATCTCGAAATTCAAAATTGACCCTACTTGGTCCTAGATCGACATTCTGTACATATTGACACTAAACAATCTTACCACATTTTAAAAGATTGATTTTCGAACTCAAGCATACTATGAAGCTATAATATCTTTTACTGATTCCCATCAGCAACCGAGTACTACACATCCACAAATCACAGAGTACACACCCACAAATCACAGGCCATGGTTTCAAATCTAAGAGTATTTTATTACGATTACCTCGTTTCAGAATATAAGCAATTTTTTTTACTGTAAGAGAGATATTTGATTTCTTCCTTTAGCAAGAACCACCAAGGAACAAAGTTTTTAGCATGTTCTAAGGAGAGATGATGGTGTATAATAGCGATCTGAGCTAAGAGAAATAGGGCGTTGCAATCGATAAAAGTGCCAGAGAGGAATCTGTCCCGATATAAGCAGACCCCCTTATTTCCTCCTCCCGTGCCAATGGTTAGTAGCTCGAAGCTTCGAAGAGTATCATCACGCTCGCCTCTTGTGGCTGCAGCTCGAGTGAATGATGATGATTTGGACTCGATCCCAGGTTGGATCCTTTGGGAAGTGGACAACCGACCACTGCTGGAGCCCAGACGACTAGGTCTATTTTCACTAGGTTCACCAGAGGAACTTGGCCGGCTGCTTGACACAACAGCTCTCTTTGAGGCACTGCTGGGCCTAGAGATGCGACCTCTTTGAGAATCAACTCGCTGAAAATTTACGAGGGTATTGACCGGTTTAAAAATCAGAGTAACCTATATAAATAGAGTAGCAGAGACAAGAATTGGGAGTACAAGGAAAGCAGACAATTGTCGTCATTGCTACTAACCACTTCCTTTGATGATGGTATATCTTCTGAAGGCCTGTGCCTCGAGTGATCCCCATGCAAGCCACCACCAGAGCCACTCCTTCTGGCAAATGCCCCAACTGCACCAGAGAATCTATCTCGAAACTCTTGCTTCACTAAATGACATACATCATTGCACATAATATAATCAGTATTCTCAGCCTAAATCAATTTGTCCCAAAAATAACCAGATGGCCGAGAATTCTACAGCCACCCCCCCCCCCCCCCTTCTTTTAACAAAAAAAAAAAGGGTGCACAGCCCACATAAAATAGTCAATCTTGTAAGCCTAACTCAATTTGTCCCAAAAATAACCAGATGGCAGAGAATTCTACAGCCACCACCCCCCCCCCCCCCAAAAAAAAAATAAAGGGCATGCAACCAAAAAAAAAAAATACACCACCTAAAAAAGGAAATGAAGAACGAAAAGTCGTGAACAAAAAAAGAGTCTGGCACAACGTACTGGTCAAAACGTCAGAGAGGGGAATACCAAGTTTTGGGAGTTCTTACAAGTTAATTATACTCATGCACGAGAAGTTAAACCTAGAACCAAAGCAAGTACTCCTAAGCCCAAAAACCTTATGAAATCTTGAACAACTTTATATGTAATCAACTTATTATTTTTTTTTTTTGGATCAAAAGTAATCAACTTATTTAAATGACAGAATTTGTATTGCAACTAATAGCCAAACCTTGCTGGGATAAGACACAGACCTGGGGTCTTCTCTGTATTTTCCACAGATGGTCCTGGGTTCAAAGCTAATTTTCCATTGGGCTGCTGAAAATAGACAACAAATATAAGATATGACATTTATTGAAGACAACATGGGAATAATTGCCACCGAGTTAAAAATACTGACCCGTCCTCTGGAACTGGAGCCCACTTGCGGATACTTTAATATAGTCCAGTCAAATATATAATCAAACTGATAACCTATACAAAGTAGAAGGGTTAAAACATGTGTAAAACTACATACATAAGACAGCCCAAGGTTGCAAACGAGATCAACTTAAGGCAAATTTATATAAAAGAAAATGACAAGATAAAAGAAAAGGAAAGCTAACAATTTCAAGAATCAGATATTGAAGATTATATTTCACCTTCTCGAATAAACAGGTCCCGAAAAAGCCTCTTCAGGTACGAATAATCCGGTTTGTCATCAAACCGCAATGATTGACAATAATGAAAGTATGATATGAATTCTGAAGGATGAGATTTGCAGAGCATCTGTGAACAAACGTTGACAACTTCAGTTAACAGGAGTTATCTATGGTGTGTGCTCTATTTCAATCTAATAACAAATGCAGGGCATGCCACAGTAAAGACATCAGACTTATCCAACAATTATCCCGTTACCATCTTGTCTAAAAATTCAATCATCCGGAATAAGTATGGGAACAGAGACATTAGGAGGAGTAAGAATACCTCTATGGGTGTAAGCATCTTCTTTTCACTGATTTTGTCATATTTCTGCTTTTTAGTGCCAGCTTTCAAACCCTGCCAGGGAAGGCTAAAGCAAAGAAATTAAATAAACAACGTTAGTAATCAAAATGCTGAAACGAAAAATATGTCAAGAAAGGCAATTGATCATATGCTCTACCTTCCCCTCAGAAAATACATAAGGACGTAACCAAGAGATTGTAGATCATCCCGTCTGCTTTGTTCTGCACGTCACCAAATTACAAATAAATGCAACGCAAAAGCCAGAGAAATATCAACCGCGTACGATCAAGCATATGAGCCATCTTTAGCTAACACTTAAAAGTTGAAATCAGTTGAGTTCACTCACCAACACCAAGGTGGGTATTAACGCTTGCATAACGAGCTGTGCCGGTGAGATTTTTGTTCTCCCTGTAAGAAAAAAGTTCTCAAGTAAAAAAAAATTACTTAAAGGCTAAAAGCTCAGAAAGAAAAAAAGGATTCATCATAATATAAAAAAGTCATTTAAAATCCAAAATGACTAGCATATATAACGAGAATGAAGTGATTAAAATTTCCAACATACAGACATTAACAAAGTGGGCTTTGTCAGCTGTTATCTATTATATTTGATTTGATTCAGACAGTAATGAGTTCAAATATTGATATATCTTGATGGAGTTTCATTGGCAGTTACAAAATTCTCCTTGCATTATGTGCAACCATACACACATTGACTCGTTACTTGAATTTTACCTCAATATGGTTAAAAATAAAAAAGAATAAATCAAATAAACTACCCTTGAGGTAAAGCATAGATAGATTACATCCCCTGAGGTTTCGGAAATGACGATTAACCCTATTCAAAATTTAGTTGGTTGACACAGCAATTGGCATATGTCGATTCTACCATATTACCACCTTTGTCTTCTTGTTATATTTGGTCAAAATCAAAACTGAGGGAGAGAGAAGAGGAAATGCCAGTAGTGGGTGGCCACCCATCACCCAGGTCAAACCCTCCACCCCACCATTATTTCCCCCCACCCCCCACAAAGGCACCAGTTCTCACTATCCTCTCTCCACATAGACACTTTAACACACACACACTCTCACAAACCCCTACATTATGTGCCAGTTGGAGGGTGGATTTGGTCGTGGCAGGTTTCAATCTAGGTGATGGGTGGTTGGCCGGGGGAGCAATGCAGAGCGAATGGGACACTCGTGAGGGGATTGGATTTAGGTTGGGGTGGGGTACAATGGAAGAACAAGTTGAAAGCGAATATATTTTAAGATACTTTGGTCATATTCAAGGGAGAGGCACCAGTAAAGTGATAGAATTTCTCGATTAGGAGTAGAACTAAATTAACATTGAACAAAATAATAAGAAATGAAATGAAAATACTTAACTTAAATGAGCGTATAGCACATGAGCGAAATGAATGGCAAAGACGGACTTATATAGTCGACCTAAAATGATTGAGACATAAGACTTAATTTTGTTTAGTTTGGTTTGGGGTAGGGAGGAAAAAGGAGGCACATGGTTCACTCGAAGGAGAAGAAGTGGGTAATAAAAAACGTAGTACGACATGGAAGGTGCAGGGTCAAGAAGCAAAGGGAGTCTTGGTGATGGAACTGGGTTCAGGTCGGGGATGGAGAGGGGGGTTTTGTCCACCACCACATTTTTACTTTAAGGGGTAGGGACTTGGGTTCAAGTTGGAAATTTTTCATAATTTTACATTTTTATTTTTCTAGTGTTTTTCCACAATGTTGAAATGAAAAACATCCCTTACTTCACCGCATTGAACTGCGACACATTCTGACTAAAAAAAAATGACACCTCGTCTACTTTTACTTTGAGCTTCAACAGGAGTCTATTGATCCCTACCAAAGTCAATCATTAACTCCATGCGTAGTGGATAAACTAATTATTGAGATAGAATCAAAGAATCATATGAAATGTTTTTCAAAGTAGGAAAAGGGTAAAAAAACAATGAGGCCATCTCCAGTCTTGACTCAAAAAACTTAAAAAAATAGGACAAACTCAATTTCAAAGCATGATAGAATATGGCCACTGGATTTTCAAAGAGAGTAAAATCTGATCATTCAAGATTTGAGTTTTCCCAGATTAGAGTAAAAATTTAAGTCTTCCTTCATTTGTTATGTTTATGAGTCTTCCTTCATCTAGTATGTGTTTGAGTAATGGACCAAAGGTTGTTTTTAACCTATTTTTACTCAAATTTAAATTTGATACGAGTTTGGGTAAGGATTAGAGATGCTCTAACTTCAAACAACACAACCTTGTGCAATTGATTTTTAAGGACAGCTTGTAGGTTTAAAATTCTAAGACAAGAAAGGTTATAAGCTTAATGAAGAAATGCATTTTTTTGGAACAAAGGGTTTTAAGTGTCGAGATATAAGCTAATAAAGTATGAAAGTATTTTTCGTTAAAGATGTAGCCCTTCCAGTTAAAGAATCAATGGTGATAGAACAACCCCACCCTAACCCTTATCTGTAAAGTTGTGTGGGCTACGCACTCTCTTCTCTACAGATATTAACATTTTTTACACAAAGAAGAAAGGAACAAATAGATAACCCAACATGCTATATTGGGAATAACCAGCTCAAATGCTCTAGTTTCTTATAATTATTTGGGCCATTAGGGTTCAAAGTATCGGTCGAATTCGATACTACTTGGTCCTTTCTGATCCAATATTGGTACACGATACACAAATATTATGAGTCACAATTGAATCGTCCTTGACTCGGTCACAAATCAAACAACTCAACTACACTCGGAATCATCTTACTGAAATCAGACAATTCGTAATCAAACAACCTGATACATGGTAGAATCCTCCACAAAACACAAAAAACAAAACGCCAAATAAAGACTCATAGAGAGAGAGAGAAGAAGAGCATGAGGCCCACACTTATATTTACCAATTTCATGTAATTTTTGCCCTAAACACCACTTATTGCAATTGTACAAACAAAGATCGAATTGGATGATTTTGTAACATAAACCTAAAAAAATCGAAGCCGAAGGTATTGTAGCGAATATAGATTATTGGGAATCAAGGTTCCGCAAGCCAAACGTCGTCGCATCATCTCTTCGCCTCCAGTTCCATCTCTCCAATCGCTTTGAAGAGACGATCCTTTCATCTCATCTCCCTCTCTCCCTCTCAATAAAACTGATTGATAAAAAAGGTCAAAAGAGTTTATCCATATTCTAAGTGTTGGTGAGTTTATGTGAAGTGTTTGCTGCTAAATGTATGCTATAATATATTTTAATAGAATATAGAATATATATATATATATATATCAAGAGTTAAATATACTAAGCTATCTTTTTAATACGCCTAGTTCAAAAAATCTTTTTAATATACAATTGAACATATGATAGACATACATATCAATTCGCCACACATATCGACATCATTTTTTTAAAGTTTAATTTTTATAAATTCCTTAAATTAAATATTAAAGTTACATCTATAAGATATTTAGATTCAAAATACTTTTTAATTTTTATGATAATTATATTTCCGATACAACCCTTATATTTTATTTTTAGTATTTTTAATGTACTATATGGTGTTTTTTTAGATATATGATATATGGATTTGGTTGCTTACATATTCTAGAAAATTTCATGAGTTTTTTAAAAAAAATTGAGGCTTTTATCTATCATTTTGTGTGTCTCAGCCAATACCGATCCACGACGCCGCAATCAATGTGCCTCAATATCCTCCAAGTTGATAACCGATACCATGACCTTTAACTATGGGGATCACCCTTATAAAATCTAACTGCCAATTTTGCCCAAAAGTGCAAGTGCCTCGGTTCCACTAGTCCAATCAACTAGCTAAGGAGGGCCAGGTCTAATAGTCCTACAGACATCCATTAATAACTTAGGAATCCATGCATATAGGAACATTTCTAAACTTCCCACTATTCTCAGTTATATAGAGAACAGCACAAGCCTAAGGCAATCTCTTGTGTGTGAGCGCATATGTTCATATTGAGGTAGTTATAGGTGGTGGCAGAAACCATTACATCATACTCTCTAAAAATATAAAATCACATCTACCTGTACGGTATGTGTTTGTGTGTTTGAAGATCCCTGTACTTTTTTGCGAGCCCATAGTCAATGATGTATACCTGTTGCAAAACGAAAGCAGCAAAAAGTTGAGTTGCAACTTGATAGAGAAAATATCATAATATGTTGCATATTAAATTTTAATAGTGAGAAGTGTAGAACATTTTTAAGTATGCATGCCTTCAGATTTTCACAAAAATTACTAGTTTCCATTGGGCATGAACATTTACCAAGCATTAGAAAATTAACTTCTGATCTACATAATCCTTTTCCTCAATGCAGACTAAAGTTTTATGAGCTTCAAAGAGACTGGAGTTTTATGGTCCATTTGATAGGAGTCCGAATTTGGAAGCAAGGGGGAGCTAGGAGGGATGTACAAGGATATTTTTTGGAAAGCGAACTTTCACTTCTTGTGTTTGCTCAATTATGAAATACCTAAGAAATGAAAGAGTACCTATTACTCAATTTGACCATTGCAAAGTACTCCCTCCATTCTAAATATCTTTCGTTTAAGGTTTTTGCACAGGGATTAAAGAAGCTATTAAATAACTCTAATATGAGTAAAAAATAATTGCACAAGACTAAAATATCCTTATTCAATACGTATTGGAAAGGAAAGGAATATGAAAGACACTTACCCTCCACCAAATCTAATACATTGAAAAGTTAAAAGGTATATTTGGAAGAAAAAATATTAATTATGCTTTGATTTCATTAAACGACAGATATTATGAACAAAAAAAAATTGTGTAAAACGACAGATATTTAGGAACGGAGGGAATAATATGAAGAAATAAGAAAGTACTTTGGCAAAAAGAATAAAGAAAATGATCACTATTCTTTTCACATATACTTCTACTTTGGAGGGAAGATGCATCCGAACTCTCCTTCCTTCCCCATACCTTTCACTCCTTGTCCCTTTTCCCCCCAGTGTTGTGTACCATATCAACAACTCTATAATTTTAAATATATGTTGTATCTTATCATATGCAAAATCCATCAATTTGGAGTACACTGAGGCGCCTCAATCTTGGCATCATGGAATAGTATCGACCAAAATAAACCAAAAGATAGATAGAAGAAGTTGGTCGTGAGAAAGATTCAGGCCAGGCTAACCGTACATTACCGGGTGGTACATTGGGAGTGAATGACGACAACTCAACCAAGAGGACCAAGATATCTCTGAGTCAACAAGTCTAGTGAGACTCGTGATTTAGTCGTAAAGTGAATCATTACTGGAATAGAAAGGACCGAGTCGGAGACGAGACTCCTGGTTACATGTGATATAGGTACCATATTGGAACGGAAAGGGCCAAGTGGGATACGACTCTGCCGAATCATATCAGACTTACTTAGCTCTTTGAACCATTAAATAACACATCATGAATAATGAGTTTAAAGAAAAAAAGACAGCGCCATATACCAGCCAAACAAGGTATCTCACAGTATTTTCATTCTTAATAGTAAGTTCAATCAATAGAAAGTCACACAAGAATCTTTTAAAAGAACCAAAATTGGTCAAGATACATACATGTCAAAGAGTGTGGATACATTTTAGCACCAAGTATAACCATACACAAAAACACTTCATAGAAGAACATACCTGATTTGCTTTGCGCCCTAACCCCATTAAAAAGTTGTCGGGCTTTATGTCACGGTGAAGAAAACCTCTTGAATGCATATATTCAACTCTGTTAATCTACATGAAACATCAGAAAAAGCTTAAGTACAGCAGCTACAAGTCGGAAAAAAAATCTCTGATTCAGTAGCATACTTACTAATTGATCTGCAAGCATTAAAACTGTTTTCAATGTGAACTTCCTATTACAATAGTTGAACAAGTCTTCTAGACTTGGCCCAAGAAGGTCAATGACCATGGCATTGTATTCACCTTCAACTCCAAACCATTTGATGTGGGGAATACCAGCTTCATTCAAAGAACAAAGACATGGGCAGACTGACATTAATTCAACAACTTCACAAATCATGTCCTATGTCATACAGAGAAAAAGCTAGAAACGAAAAACTCACTTCCTCCCTGCAGAAGCATGTACAATTTTGATTCATAGTGAAGCTGAGGGTGCTTTGTCTTGACTGACTCCTGAAAAAAAAAACAAGGAAAATAAATTGGTATAATGATAAATAAAGTCTAAAGAGAAATATTTGATGGAATATAACAAGAGTGATAACATGTTCAATAGTGTAAAAGAGATGAAATTGAGGGTCAAGAAAGTACTTACTCTACCACAGCATACATGTAAATTCACTACAGGGTCGAACAAGGATAAAACAAAAAAAGTATATACATAAGTAACATAACCATATTAGGCATCTAATATTTCTATCAGGTCAACACACTACAATAATGCAGCTGATATTTCTATCCGATGAAAATTTTGAATCCTATTATTCAATTTCTATCGAACAAAGGTAAGGATCAAAATTTCGTTTCGGTGCATTGTTTCGGTCACCTAAGAAACAAAAATGTTTCAATATGTTTCTAAAACGTTTAGACCCATTTCGAAAATAAAATGAAAAAAAAATAAAAATTTAAGAATTATTTTTTCAAAACATTAGTTGAAATATACCAAAATATCTTGAAATACCTTTAAACATTCCGATATAATTGTACAAATGCATTGAAATATAACAAAATATTTTAAAACATTATGGAACACCTCGAACTATTCGAATTTCGATTCCATTACTGATTTGTTTCGGTTCCTTTGGAAACGGAAACGTTTCGGATGTTTCTACCATTTTGAAACAATATTTTAATCATTGAGTAGAGGTAAATGAGGTAGGAAAATAATAGATTTTAAAGTCAATTGCCCATTATAACTAGGTCGCACCTGATATCTCTAATTATTAGAATATTATGGAGATAGAATAAACCTAACTTAATTGGTTTTAAAAAAACTTAGTGCAAAGAACATCTAAAATGTGGTAGAAAAGTGTCCTCAACCCAGATGTCCAAATGATCAATCAAGACAGTTTGCTACGCAAGTAACATTGTCATGGGCCTTTAGTGTCCGACCTAAGGCCAAGAGAGTGTTCCACCGAGTGAAGTGTTTTAAGAAAAATGATCCAATTTGGTAACCTCACGCCTATTTACTAGCTATTTAGTCCATTGTTTTATTATAAAATATATAGGTAACTTTGCAAAAACAATCATCATTATTAGCATTCAACACCTAACTTTTCATTCCACTATTTCCTCCAAACTAAATGTTTATATACGTGTCTTTATACTTTTATTTTTTGGATAATTTTTCTTTCTGTAACTGCCGAAGTACAGAACCTTCATCGGTACTTAACAAGCTACCCAGGATAAAAATACCCAGCATTCTAATCCAAACCCTCTACTTAAAGATCCCATTGCAAACCAAAACTAAACTAGTAAACTGGCTTAGTAAGCCAAATACCAAGCCCCAGGTAAAAGGGCTTCCAAAATTGAAACACATCATATTAGAGATAAGGCGTACTAACTGCATAGCCATTTTTTTCATAGCCAAGTATACATATGATTCATTCGACACCAAAGTAAAATTCCAGAGATGAAAACCTCGTATACATACCAGCTTCACCGCAACCTCATCCCCAGTTTGTACATTGACTCCTGCAACAAATCAAAGCACCAACAATATTGCATCATACCCAGAAAAATCAAAACCAAAGAAACACATTAAAGCACTTAAAATGCAAATTGATTATACCCAAATAGAGCTCGCCGAAAGATCCACTACCGATCTTCCTCCCAAGCTTAAACTTCCCACCAATCACATGATCCATAATTGGATGCCCAAAATCAAAACTGTCCTCGAAACTCCAAAAAACACAGTAACTAACTCTTTCTTATTTTCAAATTTCAACCCAATAATTCAACATCTCGAAACAGAAGTCTCAAATTCTCAATCAATCATCCACAGCTTAGATCACCAAATCCTCGGATCCTTAGAAGTCCACCACTTAGATCATCCAAACTCCCAAATTTATTTGGTAAAATATTTTCCTCAAAGAAAAACCCTAATTCCCGTTATCATGTATCAACAAAATAATATTTATATACTAAATATAAATTTATAATTTAACAAGAAGAAAAAAAATGAATTTAATGAATGAATTAAAACCCTATACGCTATATCATCAGAAAAATGAAACCCAAAATCTGGGACTATTGGTAACCCTAGTTTTCTGATACATTGGTGGAAAAGCTGATAAAACTGTGATGTAACACACACACACACACACACACAGGCGGATTATGGGGCAATCGCAATGACGGGAAATGCAATTTAGAAGTAATAGATGAAATCTAAGGAAAACGAAATCCGCGGGGAAATTTTCGGTGTAGATTCTGCTGCTGGATTTGCGCCAGGAAGAACAACAGAGAGAGTTGCGATGGAATTGTCTTCAATCAAGAATCTTTAAAAAGTGGAGAGAGAGAGAGAGAGAATTTTACAAGGGAAAAAGGCTGTGTTGAAACTACAATGGGGGTACTTTTTGCTATTGTTGTATTTTTCCAACAACCCAAAAACCGGTAAACCGACCCGAATGTATGAGTAGTGGGGCACTGGTAAATAATGGGCTATATATGTATTGATGGTAAATGATCGAGCAAAAAAATGCATGAAAATATAATAAAGGTTATGTTGATCTGAATTTGAGATTTGAGAATTTCAAATTCCAATTCAAATAGTATCCAAATTTCAAGGAAAATGTTATTTAAACTTGATTTGAAAACTTGATTAAATGTCGTTGTTAAATTGAAAGCAGATTTAATCTAATATTGAAACTTACAATTATTCTAATTGTTGTATTGAATTAATTTTGTGATTCGGCCCTAAATTAATTAATTATAGTTAGGGCTATTAATCGAACTAAGTTACTCGAGTTTCGCTCGGGTTCGACTCATTTTTTTAGTTCGTTCAAGTTCAATTCATTTAGAAAACGAGTTGAACTTGAAATTTTTACAGGCTCATTTGGAAAACGAGCCTTAGGCTATGTTCGAACTCCACAAATTTGATTTGTTTATATGCAAATACTCAAACTCGACTCGAGTTTGACTTGTTTTAGGCTTGACACAAACTCATTCAAGCTCATTCGACTATCGGCTCTAACTATAATATTGCTCGAATTCAAATTAAATTAAAACTTTTTTCTTTTGCTAACAAAAATGTATAAGCTCTAACTATAGTATTGCTCGAATTCAAATTAAATTAAAACTTTTTTCTTTTGCTAACAAAAATGTATAATTACTAAATATTTTAATTTAGGCTCAAGTTAGACTCAAGTTAACTAGAACTATTTGAATTCCTATTTATTTGTCTTAGAATACCACAAAGACAAAAGAAAGTACATATCCAACCTCAAGGGTATCTGCGTAAAAACAAAAACAAGTTATAAATTCAGACGTTCTAAATTTCAAATTTAATGAGTCTCTTGAAGTCAAACTATAAGAGATTTATTTTTCATAAATTTTTTAATGAAAAATTGTAAGGGGTACGATAAATTAGATTTAATTGTCAAAAAGTACATAACTTTTTATGTTAAGTAATTAAGTCCTTTTTTTTAGAACTTAATTGTATCTAAGTACACAATTTGTTTTTTTCTGATTTTTCTTTGACGTATTTGTCCTCCCTTAAATCATGCGTTCTTTTTTAGCTAGTTAAGTTGAGTTTTTATTTCATTGTATTATATTAAATATTTCCTAATATTATGACAGATCTGTAGCATTCATTTTTTGTGTGTATCTCAATCATTTTTGAATTTGAATTTTTTTCACATTATCATTGATTCTCTTCTTCTTCTTCTTCAAAATATAAGCTATTATCATTTGGAAAAGTTCAAATATAACATTATTCTTATTCTCCAAAGCCATTATTAGGTTTGAATTTATGCGTTCATTAAGTTTAATTTTTTTGTTCATAGTCCTCGTAATTATTCTGTTTTTTTTTTCTTTTTCATAGTTCTTTAGTTGATCTTGGAGCACCACAGTGAATGGTGTCTTTTTGTATCTTCCGTTTTCTTTTTCATAATTCTTTTGTTTTTGTTGGTTACCCACCCAGACACGACCGCAAGAATGTTTTCTTCTCTATTTTTTTTTTAACCAAGGAACACCATGTTGGATGGTGTTACAAGTTTGCGTCATGATTTTTTTTCCCAGTTTAACGTTATTTATGTTCATAAGTTTCCTATTTGTCAATAGCTACACTGTGTGATCCACACAGGGTACATGAAAACTTTTTCCATTAGATATGTCTCCTGTGTTTTTAATTGGGAATTGCTTTCACATGATTCATTCATAAACAACAATACGAGACACTGAGTTGTTATACTATAGAAAACATGTTGTATGAATCTGTGTGCATTGTTGTTACACTGATTATATTACACAGTCTTTACTACACTATAAACAGTCATCAGATACACTGAGAATTAACCTGAGTTCCATTTTGAAAATAATTTCACTTGATTCATTCATAAACAAACGAGGAAAGTTGTAAACAACACATATAATAATTTAAAGGTGCAAGTATAGTGTACTATAATAGTGTAACCATTACAGTACAATAATACACTTACACAAAACATTGTACTGTTACAGTTTCTCAAACATATATTTGCATATAAATTCACTCAAGCAGTCCAATTCTGTTTGAATTTGTTACCGCATGCACAAAAAAATGTTTAATCAATACCAAAACACAATCACTGAATTTGAAACAACACTGTTGTATTTTATTGGAAAAATATTTTCAATCAAATGAAAAATAAATAATTATTCAGGGAAAAAAACCACCAACTAAAAAATTAATTAAGATATAAACATCTAGAGTTTACAAAATATATAATTTAGGGCTTTTGACTAAAATTAAAAGTGTACCACCTAAATGGCATAAGGTACTTTGCATTTTACCTTCTCCATTTTATATATTATGTTTATGTTCATATTGAAAAAGTCAGAAAAACATGAATTGCACAAGCAACTTAAAAAAAAAAAAATTCAAATCAAAATCAATATTTGGATTCAAAGTATAACCCATGACCTTAGACGAACTAGCAACATAAAATCAACACCTAATAATATCAAAGTTCTTCGTATTATGTGAAGGAACACTATCAACTATCACCAACTCATTTTTGGTCTAGAACTGCCAATGGTCAAACAAATCTCTAAATGGCGAAGAACTTAAAAAGAATAAATGTTGTTGATGAACTGGCGTCAAAATGGTAGACCAGTAGGATTTTTCTTTCAATTTTGACACCCTATTTTCAGAGAACGAATTATGGCTTTTGGTGAAGAAGATGAAGCGGTTTTGGTGAGGAAGATGAAGCAACAAAGGTGTTCCGAAGATTAAGTGTTTTGCACTTAAATGTTCCTTAAAAGAAGCAATTAAACATTATTACTGTGCATCTAATTAATTTAAAGATATTTTCTTAAAACTGTTTTTAAGAAAATAAATTTTAGAAAATGAACAGTTAAGTCTTTGTATCTCACAAGTGTACTTTTTTACAACACATTTTTTATTGTGTGGTTTTTTATAATTAAGTTTAATTTAGTGTACCGGCCTTCAAATTACCCATATTTTAATCCCGTCGATGACCAAACAACCGCAATACGAAAAAAAAGGTACATATCCTAGATACCATGCATCAAATTACCCATTTTTTAATTCGTCGATGGCCCAACAACCGCAATACAAAAAAAAAAGGTACATATCCTAGATACCATGCATCAATAACCTCATAATAGGTTCAATTTCACCCCAAGTGTGTAGTATATGATTACAACATTTTAAAGATCGTTTTAAAATTAGCATGAAAAAGGATAATTCAACTGGGTAATCTATAACACAACTAAAAGTATCATTTTCTTCTTCAGTGTGCCATGAAATGAGAGTACGACAACTAACAACTAGTCCAAAATAATCATAATAGTAGGAGGAGGTTGGTTCAAACATAGCATGGTGTGTGGGTAATTTCTCATGCAATGGTGAGATGGTAGCAATTTGATTGACACTCGAAGGTAACCTTGTTGTATGAGAGTGACGAAAGACCTGAAGATCATAAAAAAGGGTTAGAAGGAAGGCCGAAAATATCTCTAGCAATTCCTCTCCGATTCTTAAGTTAGTTTCTGAGAAGGGAATGAGACAAAGTTAAATGTTAGGGTTGAGAAAGGTCGAGCATACCTCTTTCTTTCAACTAAAGAGTGTTATTTATACATTCCTAGTAAATGGGTGTCTCTATCGAGATAACTTCGCATGATTCCTCTTGGCGGGAGGCTTCTTGATTGGTTAGTCCTTGGGACAACAAGGATGTCTTAGTGACCTTGTCAGGTAGCCGAGCAACAAGCCGGATTCCCCTTGACCTCAATCCCTAGGCTTATCAAAATTCGATACGACACGATTAATCAACACGAATCGACACGAATTAAGCGAGTTTGAGTAAAACCTTAACGGGTTTGGGTGATAAACATGTTGACCTGTCAGACACGTTTAATAAACGAGTCGTGTTCAAATGAGACGTGTCAAACCGTATATCACTCATTTATCCCTTTAAATAAATTTAATATAATAAAAAATTAATAATAATTATATATATATATATATATATATATATATAATAATGAATGAGTAAAGAAAAAATAGCAAAGAAAACATTTCAAAAAATAAAAATTAAGGAAATCGATTAAAAAAAATAGGAAACAAAGGCTTTAAACTTTTGAGGCATTGAATTATCTTTTTTTGAATCTCGCATCGACAGAGGAGTGAAGAGAATAATGGTTGTTGGTTATAAAAGAGGTAATGGTTGTTGGCTTATCATGTGGACTGTAGTGTGACTTATCACGTGGTTGACCGTTGTTGTCTAAAACTCCTCTAATTTAGGAAAATACATTTGGAAGAAAAAAAATGGATATAAAAATTTGTTAAAATAATAATTTTTTTGCTTTTTTTTTTTTTGTTATTTTTAAATGGGTTAAACGACTTGTGTCGTATTACCTGTTTATTAAACGGTTCGTGTTTAAAATTTTTATTCGTTTATTAAACGTGTCGTGTATGAGATTGTATATTTTTCACCGTCAATCGTTTAACTCGATACATAACCGTTTAATTTGACGTAACCGTTTAACTCGACATTATTAACACCTTTATCCATTCCTAATCCTTTTATGTGCATTCACAAGGCGTTCATTAATGACATTAATCCTTCGGTGTCTAAGTCTCTACCGACTGCTAATCGAAAGAGAAGACGTTGGAGAACTGCTCCAAGAGTAATAAATGTCTAATGCAAGTCGACGTGTCGAGGGTCTAAATGTTTCGCATCCATTTTCTTCTGGGCATTAATTTTCTGTCGTGTGCTCATGAGGAGTATTTATTACCTGTTGTCATAGTTTTAAGGGTCTTTCTAATCATTGACTATAGTGTGTCATCATACCTGATCAGACAGCATGAGATAATTGATCCATGGGATAATGAAACCACGCTTATTGACAGTTGAATACGAATTTTCATAAATCATTTTCCTCGTTTATCCCTAAGTAGACATCTCTGATGCATTTTCAACGAACACAATTCCCCGAGTGACGTCATATATAACTGAGCGATGTCACTCTTGAGGGGACTCATTCATTACTATAACTTCTCCCTCGAGCGATGTCACATTATCCTAAGTGACATCACTCTTGAAGTGACTCTCTCGTCCTTTTATCCACTTCTCCAAATGATGTCATTTTCAATTGAGTGATGTCACTGCTGTAAGTGCCATATATCCACTTCTGACTGGTCTAACGTGTCATGATTATCTCACACGACACAACTCATCCTACATCCCGCTATATTTGACTCATCCTATATACAATGTTTGTGTTTATGATTATCTCGGGCCACCGAGCGAGATAATCATCCGGTCTATGAACCACAAATTGGGTGTAATGCCAAATCAAAATTCTGTAAGAATTACATACCAATCCATTTTGATACACAAACTTTCTTATACATGTCCCCTGGGACCGAATCCATCATGATCCTGGTTGACATTCTAAAGTAGTTAATACAGAACATCAACTTCTTGATATAGTTAAAGAGTATAGTGCTACTTGGGACTCACACAGTTTGAAACTGCAAACAAACAGCCTGGGCACTGATTCAAGCGCAAGCTTCAACGTGGTATGCCATATGGCAAAAGGGTTGCAAAACGAAAGAGTGCAACCCTGGCAACAAATAACACGAACAGAATAAACAGAACCACCCGCCAACAATGATGAACAATACAAACCATGGCAAAGGAGCCCATAATCAATCCCTCGTAACAAGTTAGTGAGTGTCTCAATTCTAAAATTCAATACATTTGATTTATTTGCTCTTACTTCTTACATCAAGCTGACCCAATAAAGGAACAGAACATTTATTAAAACAAGTCAGACAGAATTCCAAAGACCGATATACCCAGAATTCACAAGGTTCTAGTTTGCACTTTTGAGTGTGGTCAATCATCTTCTCTTTCTGGTGGGAGTCCACATGGTAGAAGCATTTTCTGCACGCACAACATTTTCAATATAACAAAGTCATCAGTTGTTTTAAGAAAACATACATAAATTCGAATTTTCTGTGGCAAACAACACTAAGCATCATCACTAGAGATACATGTTTCTCAAAATTGATAGGCACTTGAAGAAGTTGAACAATACTGTTTATTCAACATATAGGGCAGACTAAGCATTTGATAACAGCATATCAAGCATTTGTTTCATTATGAAGTTGTGAGTACACAAACTTCATATGCTTGCCTAAACGCAGATTCCAGTTGTATAGAATGCCACCTCATGCACATCATGAGGAGGAATAATGTGCAGGAGGTGGCAGCATACACAGCATGATGGCTTAGGCATTTGTAACATGTTATTTTAAGGTTTTAGAAGAAACATGAGACAATTTTTAGCTGCCTAAAAAGCACTTTTTGATTTTTGTTTCTACATAAATCCTTAATAAGAGACCTCAAAAAAAAAAAAACACTTTGACCAAGTTACAATTAAGTGGCCAGTAACCGTAGCAATCCCTTCACAAAAAGAAAATCCACAATTTGCAGCTTTGTCTCCTTGATCACAATTCAAGAGACAAAAATTGAGAGAAAAAAGGACCATCCAATGCACGAGGCTCTAGTCTGGGGTTCGGGGCATGTCATACAAAATGTTAATCCTTTGTCAAACAAATTGCCCCACAAGAGATGTTAATACTCCAGCATCGAACCACTACCCCATACTGAATTTTGAACATATAATGAAGCAATCCACAGTCACCTACACTAAGTTAAAATGGCTTCAGAAATATAGTAGAAGAATTTCGCTATTCAAAATGCAAACACAATACACAACATTAACATCAAAGTAAGAAAGTTCCAATAAACAATACCAAAGCACTTGCAAAAGGAACATAAACAGGACATTAGTTTCAACAATTACTGCCATCAAACAACGGTTGTTTGAAACAAAATAACCTAGTGTGAAACAAATTATGATATAAGCATAACACGGACCAAACCTGCATAAAATTGTAGCGTTCTCTTCCAACTGACTCATTTTCAGCAATGGCAAAATATGCCAGCATGGGATAATGCCCAACATAAGATGCATAGCTGTCACGTTGAATGTTCACTGCCCACTCACTACATAACCATATATGTCAAGCATAAGAACAAAAATCTTTACAGAAATAAATGGTTAAAAACAAATTATTTTCAACAAAGGACACTTACAATCTATTCAAGTCAGCATGCCCAGTACCAACATATTTTGCTTGCAAATGCTCGAGCTGAGAGTTGATATTAAACCTGTCACTCGCCTGCACAAAAATACAACAGCAATTATTTATTTAGACTAAAGCGTTGGAAATCGTCCATGAAAATATTTATAAAGCCCCACAATCATAAATATAAACACAACAACATAAGTATGAATCTTACTCTATGCCTTCCTAAAATCAGGAATAGCAGCCTCATCCAAACATAGGAATGAATCCAATGATTGTTATAACATAATCTACGAATACCCAATAATTTGTTTTACACAAATACCAACACACAAAGGAAGAATTTTAGCTATTCAGAGCCATAACAACCACATCAAATTTTTTGATTAGACTGTTTGGTTGCTAGAAGCAATTTTTGGAAAAATGAAAAAAATAATTAAGGAATTCTTAATCTCAGGTTCTTTTACTGTCTGAAAACACATCAAGCAACTAAAATATACGAAATCAAATCGATTAAGACAACGGATTCATTAACTTCTTTATGCCCTTTTTCCCTCACTTTGTCGTATATAAACGGAGGGGTTTTAGCATTAAGATATGTAAAACTCAGAAACAAATCTATATGACCGTATAAATATAACAAGACGTGTATAAATTTAGATTAGAAGAGCAAAATTCACGAAACGTTTGATCAATTTTAGGGTTTTTATACAGGCAGTTAGTTTAGGGTTTTTGAATTCAATGTTCAGCACGACACGTACTTTGAAATTGAAACTACCATACATATGTGTATGTCAGAGAATTACCTGCATATTCACGTCTCGGATACACTGAGCCAACGAGAAAGAGGGAGAGACCTTTGCCCTAGTTCTTGGTTAGAGGAGAGTGGGGTAACTACTGGGTGTAAACTGGGCATATTATCTCATTTATCTCCACATATTTTTCTTGCTCGGTTGAATTATTTATTTTTTTATTAATTTATATCTTGATTAATATACGATAATGTATATATATTAATATTTTTTTGAGGCCATATATTTTGAAAAAAAAATATTTATATAATAAAATAGTTTACAATTCAAATCTCAAAAGATAAATAAAATGACTTTGTTATTTACGGTTGAGATCGTTTTAAATTTTACTTTAAAGTTAATCTAATAATTAATATTAATACCTCAAATTTAATAGGAAAAAATAAAGCCTTAAAAGTATGTTTGGAGTTACTTTTTAAAAGTACTTTTAAAAATTATTTCTCATAAATATTTAAAAAAAAATAGTATTTGAAACCGCTCTACCACTACCCCACCACCACCCCACCGTCACCACCACTGCCATTATCGTTGTCGTCGTCACCATCATCATCGTCGCCATCGCCACCACCACCACAAGCACCACCACCACCACCATAACTATCACCACCGCCGCCTCTGTCATCGTCGTCGTCACCACCATAGTTGTCATTGTCGCTACCACCACCACCATCGTAACCGCCACTGCCATCGCCGCCACCACTACCACCGTCACCATGGTTATTGCCACCCACCGCAACCATTACCGTCTCTTACCACCACTACTGCCGCCTACCACCTCTCACCCCTACTATAAACGATACTTAAAATCATTTATTTCTCTTTTATGTTTGTAATTTAATTTTGTATATGAATATACATATGTTTATTGTTTATTATTTTTTATTATTATGTGTCTTTAGACACATGCAATAACTAGTTAATTTATATTGTACAAAATATGGGTAAAAATAAATTTAAAATTATGTTATAGTATGATTAATTTTTTGAAAGCTCAGATTTTATATTATATCGAATCTTTATATACGGGTTATTACTAGTATATATATCTACTACTAATAATCATGTGTCTAAAGATTCTTTGAAATACTAAAAATCAAATAGTGATCCTATAATATTTATAATTAAACAAAGAGAAAGTAAGAGATAGAGGTATTGAGATTAATAAGGTTGTTTGTTACTGAGGGGTATGTTGGTTGAATTGTCTGACATTGAAGGTCATATAAAAAATATGATGTTGAGCGAGAATTTTGTACCATTGCATTAAAGTAGATGAGAAGTTGTATTAATCTTGATTGTTTATGAGCTTTTATAAGTTAAAAATTCAAATTTTAATTGTAATATTAGATAGATGATAATCGTGTCATGTCGAGCGTGTTCGTGTTGTGACATTTAGGAGTTTGTGTCGAGCACTAATCAATTCTAACTCAACTAATTTAACTAATCATATTGTGTCATGCATGTTTGTATTGTGTTGTGTCCTTTCAAGTATTAGTCAATCATAAATCAATTCATTTAATTAATTATGTCATGTCGACCTGACTGATTTATTTTCGTATCGTGTTCATTGACCTATAAATCAAAAATTTAACGATAAGTTTAAGATTTCATTTTTACTTAATCAAATGCACGCTCATATTTTTTCTACAAACTAAAAATCAATTTAACAAATATAATAACAAAAATGAATAAAAACATCTTTTTGTATAAGAATTATATCAATACTTGCTAAAAAATAATAAAAAAAGTGATATTTTAATCTTATAATACTATTTAAACGTGTTAGACATGTCAGTTTTATGTTATTCGTATTTAACACTAACTCGATTATTTATTATTCATGTTAATAGGTCATTTTATTTACGAGTTCGTGTCGATAAATGATTAACTATAAACTATTGTTACTCAAAAACTATAACCAATCAATTTCGTTTCGATTTGAAGTCATATTTTTGTGTAAAAAATTGTCATCCATTTCCAATTTTTTTTCTAGTACAGTTGTCAAATTGACACGCAATGGTGAATCAGTTGAAATGAAAGGTTTAAGGGTACGTAGAATTCAAAAGATGATAGGGTTGAATGTGAATTATCTTTTCTGGAAAAAAATTAAAAAAAAATTATCTTTTCTGATTACAAAGCTATTTTTAAATATACATCTCTAAATAACAAGCTTCACATATTACGTATAATTTCAAAATACAAAGATGTAAAATTTGCCAAAACAGAAACAATAGGAATCGATTGAGAATGATGTAAAATTTGTGCCTCACGCGCAAGCAACATAGAGTAGATTTCCTCCAGAGTAAAAGAATCATCACCGACTCTGATAATGGTGACCAGTGAATCATATTCTAGCCTTATACTTGCAAGGATATAAGAAATGATATCGTCGCATTTCAAGGGTTGACCAACAAAGACAAGATCATCTATCAACTTTTTGATTTGCATGAAAAATTCGGTGGTTGTTTGAATGGTTTTGTGGACTGAGAAAAGCTGAGAACGCACATTAATTGCTTGAGCCCAAGACTGGGAAGCAAAGGCAGACTTGAGGGCCATCCACAGAGAATGAGAGGTGATACAGTGGGCCACCTACGCAAGAACCTCGTCCGTGAGGGAGGCAGTAAGGTAGCTGAGAATCAAGTTATCTTGAATCTCCCAAGTTTCGAACAAGGGTTTGGAGACTTAGTGCCACTGAAGGCTATAATTTCCTTGGGTGGGGGTTTGAGAGTGCCATTCACGTAGCCAAAGACTTTTTGGCCTTTCAAATAGGGAAGCATAGTAGTTTTCCAAGTGAGAAAATTTTGGCGGCTGACTTTCGTAACATCGAGGGAAGAGGAAGGGTTAAACAACGGAAGTTGGTTGTTTTGGGTATCAGATGTGGTAGAGTCATTAGAGGCAGCCATGTTGGAGAGGGAGGAGTGCTTAGTGACATATGTCCTTTGGCTTTGGTACCATGTAGAATTCAAAAGAGGATATGGTTGAAGGTGAATTATATTTTTTGATTACAAAATTATCTTTTAAATATACATCTTTGAGTAACAGACTCCACATATTATGTATATCTTCAAAATACAAAACTATTTGAAATAGAAACAAATCTTAGGATTTATGTTGCTCCAATTATCTCGTGTGTTGGTTGATCAATACTTGGTTGTTCAGCTTGAGAATTGGCTTCATCAGTTACATTAGTTTCGAAATTTTCAAATGCGCCAATTGGGTACAACTCCTTTGCTCATCATGGGTGCTGGTCCCCTAGACGACATTGGTATGTGCAAAAATGACACTGTTTAAGGGAACAATACTCCTGCAACTTTAGAGGATCCCTACCCAAGGTTTAATGTAGTGGGGGAGAAATAATGTTCTGTTTAGTAGGAATGATGAAAAGTAAGAGAGATATATTTTCTATCTTCCAAGGAAGAAAAGTAGGAATGATATATTTTTTTTCCTTTGTGTTTGATAGGATAGATGGAAAATAAAAATGATTAATTTTTTTTTAGTACTTGGTAAGATAGAAAAATATATATTTTTTATTTTTATAAATTTTTATTATAAATTTTTTTAAAAATATATAAATACATATTTTATCATTATATTTATAAATGAAATTAATTGATACATAATATATGTATATATCAAATAATATATAGACAAATAAAATACATTTCAATACAAATTATTAACTTTTCATTCATTTTCCTTCCAATTTTAGAAGAATTGATTTTGATAAGTTAGAAGGAAAGTTCATCCATCCACTTTTCTATCCTTCCTATTTTTTTTCCTTATCAAATATGATGTTTTATCTATCCTCTAACTTTTCATCTTTCCAAATTTTTATCCTTTCATTTTTCTATCGTACCAAACAGAATACAAGTGATATCTGTGGCTTTCTAAGACTTCTATAATTATCTTCAACTTTCCACTATTTCTTTAATGTAACTCATTTTTAAATTTTATTGTTTCTTTTCTTTTCCAGTTTTCCTCAAACGAATTAAAATTGATTTCAAATTCAATTAATCAGATATTCACTAACTTACCATGTGTCGATACTTATTTTTACAGATAATGGTTGAAGTAGATATCTTAATATCAATTAATATTAAGTTCCAACAAATTAAAATTAATGTTTAATTTAATTATATTCACTCCCCTATCACGGAACGTTGTAGTAGGTTTCACAAGCCCACTGTGTGTGTGTGTGTGTGTGAGAGAGAGAGAGAGAGAGAGAGAGAGATAGACCAAATCCAAGCAGAGATTTCAATTTTGTAATTGTTAATGATATCGGTACACTTAATAGTGAGGAGATAATTACATGAGAAACAACCGTGACAGTGTAAACAGTTTCTGCAGCTTGAAGAAAGAAGAAAAATTACACATCAACTACAAACAAAAAAAAAAAAAATTAAAATCTACACTTCCAGAAAATAATGTAAAAAGATCAAGATCCACACACAAAACTGGTTTCACCATAAGAGCTTTCACTGTAAATTTCTCTTTTCAAATGAAAGCAGACCCAACAAAAGCTGTTCATTTGGAAAGAATTTAATCCTGTTTGGTTGACTTGACTATGGTCATTTGATGGAGATCACTCCTTTCATTCTGGGGGTGACTGAGGGATCTTACCATTCGAGCCGTTTTTATAAACATATTAGTGAGGAGGCAAAGGATTGAGAAAGCTCCCTTGAGCAGGTTGTGTGGAAGCAGAACCCGACTCGTCGTCTGTAACATGCAAATGCAAGGAGATGAGAAAATAGAGTATAATCCTTATACTAATATCATCACTTGGTAGTTTTAATCAATGTCATGTTTCAAGGGCACACCGGCAAAAATACAAGAATAAATGAAGTGGATCGACTCTTTGGCAAGTCGCAGAGACAGGATATGGGACGGGGATATTACACAACATAGATGCGTTGATACAATATATCTCAAACAACAGGACACAAACATGGCAAGAACATCATATGCAAGTATACAGTTGTACAACTATACATGTATCATACAATGGAAACATATAGCATCTACCAATTTTCCACATAAACCAAGCTAATACGAACAGCAAATCCAAACTGGTATCATACAATCCGATGATCTTTAAAATTTCTCAATTGCACATGAATATTGCAATGATTATGCATATTTTTTTTATCATCATGCGCATGATGTCAAATATTCTTCAAAGGAAATAAAAAAGGATATATGTCAAATATTCTTCAAAAGATATAAAAAATATGATGCACATGATGTCACTTTAGTCCCTAAATGTTTCCTTCCCTCAAGAAAAAGATACCAGTAAGCAGATTGGCATATATAATACTTTGTGTTTGCTTCTGGGCTCAGACAAAGAAAACCGAAATGCCTGTATGTGTAGACCACAGTCATAATATTTTTCTTCCTTCAACAAGTAAATTCAAGGAGAAAGTCAAACGATTTGGAAAAAAAAAGAGGCAACAGAATAAACTGAGATTTTAAACGCGCGCACGCTCGAGAGAGAGAGAGAGATCCTACTGAAAAGAGACTTCACGCTGGGCCTCCTAGGTTTTGTGCTCTTCTTCAATTCAGCTGCAAACACAGCAGAACATATTGGCCAAAAAATTGTAATAGTGCCAAAAAAAATCATAGACGATTATTGAAGAATATGAAATAAAAAGAAAGAAAAACAAAATTTTCATCCCTAATTAATTATGAAAATGATTTAAATAAAATAATATGAAAAGGGAGATAGAGATTACCAATTCCAGGAACATCGTGATCATTTACAATTTCAAAGTTTTTGAATGTGTATCCCATAAAGTTGACATCCTTAGATGGAATCATCTGCAGTGAAACATAAGAGACAATGGGAAAAATGAAATGGCATGTAGGATACATAAATATGTTATCAAACACAAAATTGGCAAATTAAAAAATGCTTCATGCACCTGTCTTGGAGAGCTTATTTTTTTAAACAAATCTAAAAAATTGTTCAAGTTCAGCTCGTTTAGAACTCGAGTCGAGCCCCAGCCCGAGCCAAACCCAAGCTAAGCCCGTGTAACTCGACTATTTTCCATATAAATGAGCCGAGTTTTGCAAACTTGAGTCAAGTCTTTTAGCTAAACAAGTATAAAAAATTATTCAAGTTCAGCTCATTTAAAACACGAGTCGATCTCGAACCAAATTTATCTGTGCCGAGCACGAGTAGCTCGTCTTGATTAACACCCCTACCCGCGCTCATTATATGCTCTACTACCCAAACCAATACAAATACCATAACAAATTAACAAAAAAGTTTGCATTGTCGAATTCTGTCTTGTCAGAGCGACCCAAGGTTTTCATCTTTCCAGTGTGCAGATCAGCTAGTAATACTAGTCCAGCAGTGGTAGCTTTTATGCAACTGTCAATTAAAGTGGCTTTAAAGGCTGAAAATGCACATAATTAAAACTTTATACACAAACCTTCCTCCATGGACCTGATTTTGTAGTGGTTGGAATTTGATTATCACTCTGCAAAAACAAAAATAAAAAAGCGTGAGAAGGGCAAAAAGTGAACCAAAAAGCAGCAAAGAGGCAGAACCATAATAATTTTATAAAATTTGGAAGGCTTCACCTCTTCGAACTTCTCAAAATTCTGGGTATCCAAATCATCATTTACTTGTGGAATAAATGCAGCTTTCATTTTATACAACTTGTACCATTCAGTACCTTTGAACCATGGGTGAGCCTGAGAATGACATGGCCAATCAGGAATCAGGTGATTTCTCTAGTTGCAATCTTCAAGTAAGCATATTCACATATTTAAAGTGGAACACACCGCACAACACCTTTATTTCCTCTGCGCCTTTGGTACCAAGCCTTTGTTCTACATTACATAAAAGTTTACATATAAGATCTTTCGCTTCCGGAGATAGCTTTGCCTCTTCGGGAAATTTTAAATGATTTCTCCAGTTCACTATCTGCACTAATGAGAAAAGAGATAATTGCTTAATTATCACAAACTCAGGCTGCGAACTAGAAAGAGAATTTAGCAACAGAAGTGCCAGAAAAGAAAATATTCAGATGCTAAGGCGGAGTAGAAATTTAAAAAATATTAGTCTTAAAGGCTAGTGTTCTTCAGCAAAAATAAAAAAGGTGACCTAGTGCACAAGGCTCCCGCCACTACGGGGTCTGGGGTGGGTCAAATGTACGCAGATTACCCCCGCATGCAGAGAGTTCTTCAACAACAATCCATACTATTAATTAAGGGCGGGGAGGGGGATTTTGTGTCTTCATTGTGAAATATCTATATTATTGGTCTTTTTATATTCTTATATAACCACGTACAACTTCCCATAACGTCCCATATTCATTGATCTTTTTATAACTTCCCATAACTTACCCAATTAGGACAAATACGGGGTAATACCCTTGCACATGATTCAGTTTGAATTGATGGTATTCTGTCCCAAACCTGCCCTTCCTCCTGCCATCTCTAGTTGAAAAGATGTTCACCTTGGTGAACTATCTGTACTTTTAAGAGTTTGTTTTTTTGGATAAGGAGAGAGTGGAGATTATGGCATGAAGAATATTACAACCTCCATGCACTAAATGACAAAAAAGAAGTGAGAATAAAACCCCTAATTCCTGCTCTAATAACTAAGACTAGTTAGATCCACCTCCTACACCATATTTTTCTTGGATCTACAAAAATAATGGGAATTTAAGGGACCAAAGGCCCCATAGAAATAGACGATTGGAATGTCTGAATTTTGCAATGAACTAAGAGAGTCAACACAATCCCTACTCTGAAATTCCAAGATGAAAGTGATATCATGTGGAATTCAAGAAACATAGAAATGCCAAAGATTTTATCAGGTTTGAGATTGCAATATTTTAGGATCTCTGATATTTTTCCCAAAGCCAAATCATAATAAACATTTCATTTAGTCCTCATTAAATTGTGAGAACCATTAAGATAACAATACTACAGTTTGAATGGATGCACAGGTCCGACTCTTTAACACAATATTTTCACAGCTTCACCAAAATTTTCAAGATGCGAATTAGGATGAGGAACATTATTTGATCTCCAGAATGCAATGAGAAAGAAGGCCAAAATAGAGAGAGCATGCCATAAAGCTCGATTCAACACAAATTAGTATATCAAATGAAAATTAAAAACTGGGAAAAAAACAATATTACCTTTCTACAAGTAAACATAGGTTCATCAGAATAAAAAGGTGGATATCCGACAAGCATTTCATACATGATGGCACCAAGAGACCACCTATAAAAAAATATTGCCAGAATCCAAATAAAAGTCTTTAAATCAAAATATGCTTTTGACAAAAAAATGAAATGAAAATGTCGGAGACCACAAACCAATCACATTCCATTCCGTATCCTTTTTTCAGCAAAACTTCTGGAGCGATATAATCGGGTGTACCGACAGTGGAATAAGCCTACATTTTTTCAACACAAAATATTTTAAACCATATAGTCCAGTAAAACACTTGATAAAACACATTTTGCAAGGAAAAAATGAAGGTCCTTGATTTCATTAACTGGTTATTTCATCTGTGGATAATCCCAGTGTTTTAACGCGTGTTGATATTCAGAAGAGCTGCACTTTGCCTGCTAACTAAGAAATAAAAGGCATTTTTTAACCAACTTAGCATGGGTTTTATTTCTCCAGGATAACATGAAGCATGCAGTCTAGCCTTGTCCATTTCACAAAATTGCCAAATAACTCCATATGTATGCAAGATTTAATGTGAATGATGCTGACAGCTGACACATTCCATGACAACGGCACTCAAAAGCGGAGCATTTTATAAAAACAAGCTTCAAAGAACTGCCTGCTATAATCGTAAGATGATGACATATTCATCACTACCCAAAAAAAACAAAAGCAATGTGAGCCATGTGATAGTAGAGAATTTACAAGCATCCTCCTGTTCTTCTGCCAGTGTTGCAGTTGCTCCTGTTGTGTGCGCTTTGGCTTTGCAGGACGCCCATCACATTGGAGAGGCCCACTAAGATTATTTCCCACAGAAAAATCATTCTCATGAAGATTACTGCAGTCCAGCGGTTTACATAATCCAAAATCTGACAATTTCATGTGGCCATATCTATCAAGCAGCAAGTTGTCAGGTTTGATATCCCTGTTACATTCAAATATCAAGTAATTAAAGCATTCCGATATAATACAGAAGACCCTTGTGAGAACCCTATCAATGGTTCCTATAAAACAATAATCGCAACAACATTTACAAACCTATGAATATAATTATGCATATGGATGGACTCAAGAGCAAGTACTGTTTCCCCAACATAAAACCTGGCCTCATCTTCCGTCAATATATCCTTCCGCATCAGTAAAGTCATCATATCTCCACCAGGTAGGTATTCCATTATGAGATAGAGAAACTCTTCGTCTTGGAAGGAACAATAAAGTTTGACAATACAATTGCTGTCGACCTCTGCAAGTAGATCCCTTTCTGCTTTGACATGTTCAACCTAAAAAAATTCAATAATTGCAGTAAGAATGATGTGCACAACCTGGAATACAGTTCTTTGGCATGCTAAAAGACCTTTTACCTGGCCTCTACGAAGCATTTCTGACTTCTTAAGCTTCTTCATCGCATATACATGCCCAGTGGCCTTCTCCCTACATAATCTAACCTGCTCCACACAAAATAGAAGTTACAATATGCAATTCAAAACTTGTTAATTACAGAAGACAATCTGCTAAATATCTACAGCAGTAAACCCTTGCAATCCAAACACCCTGCGTGCCACCAATGGCCAAACAGAGAAGTTGATGCTTCAATTAGTTGTTTCCATCCAGAAAGGGTGGTTTTATTCAATGAGCAAAATAAAGTAGGACACAGTTCAGTGATGTTTGACTGTACATACTTCATCCTCGTCAGTCCCCTAAAGATGCAATTGTATTTAAAGCATGATGCATCTGGTTCCAATACACAAACACACCAACACACACACACTGATATTTGTGGGCCTCTAACCTCAAGAGGGACAACATTGATTCAAGCCTTTTTCAAGACTTAGCACCAAATGTTTATCAAGCAAGCACAGAGTATATAATACAATAAGTGATACATATATGATATACCCCAAAACAAACCTTTATTGAGCATATAACTTCTACAATTGTGCATAATATAGATACAATAGATATGAAGTAAATTTACAAAAAAGAAACAGGATTACAATTTTTTCAAGCCACAAATACATCCAGAAGGCTGGAGAGAGAGTCATACCTCCCCAAATGCACCCTTCCCTATCATTGTCAGAGGTTCAAAATCATCAGCAACCATTTTATGCCTTTGAAGGCGCATAAACTCTGTTTCCTTCTGATCTAGATTCTTTAGTATGTTGCTCTGCTCTTCCTCAGAAACCTCAGCAGCAGCCAATTTCTTTTCAACCATATTTCGTCTACATGGAAACACAAGTATCATGACTCCACAGTACTACAAATTTGAAACAACTCAGCCATTAGTTCTTTAATTGCTATAAATAAAAACTTACAACGAGGAGAGAGAAGAAATAAAAAGAAAAGGAAAAGTAATGTCCGTTTTTGATTAATACAGTAGGGGGGGGGGATCAAAAAGGTCAACCAGAACGAACAAAGCAAGAAAACCAACTTTCCCTACCAACCCACAAATTCAACAGAACACATTAACTACTGTGAGAAACTTTAATCGCTTCTCAAAAAACATACAGGCAAATTGAATCGATGTATACACAACATAAGCAAATCCAGACTGTAGTGAGGATGTGATTCATTCAACTGCAAGGACATCTTACTGGAAATCACAGATCCAGATCAAGGATGATGATAAAAAGTGACTGGCTAAATGGCACTGTGGTTGCCATAGCTGCCATATTGTTCATCACTGTACCTCTATGATGACTGTCAGTAGCAAAAGGTGGCACTGGTTACTGCATGGTGGCACTTGTATTCTAGATTTAGGCCTACTATTTTGTGTCCTGTAATATGAAACCAAACATTCTGAAAAGTCACCCTAAATGGGAATTCTTTTATTTCCATTATTTTTAATAAAATACTAGATCTGAAATCTAAGTTGGAATACCATATCTACCGCAGCATGCATTCCTGGAAAATAATTGTAGTTAAGGGTCCAAAGTTTGAAACGCACAAAACCAATACCATTGGATACTATCTCACATCCATTCTTCTCAATGATTTGTTAAAGACCAACAATAAGAATTCCTAACATCCCTTAGGTCACTGATAACAACTGATTATAAAGGGTACATATATTTGTGGAAGCTACTGCAAAAGATTTTGGTGACATTTGGTTGCATAATAGAGGAATTGGGTAGTCAATGAAAGAAAAATTTAACTTGACACCCACTTGTAAGATAATGCTGCTGAATTTACATTTTTTTAACATGCGTGTGAGCAAACAATCCTTAGACCATAATTATAGAGTTTTATAGCCGATGGCATAGAAAAAAAACAACAAACCAAAAAAAGGACAAGAGGCACCTAAGTGGCTTCTAATAGAATGACATTGAAGGAGAAAAATTTCTTCTTTGAGCATATGCATTACCTATCCATGGTCTGTTTAAAGTATTCACTATATTTCTAACCATTAGTGTATCTCCAACCCTTATTCAAAGCCTGATTTAAATTTAAATTTGAATAAAAACAAGCTCCGATCTTTTACTCAAACTCAAACCACATGAAGGGAGACTCAAATCTCCAATGGTCAGATTTCACTCTCTTTCGAGATTCAATGATCATATTTCACCCTTCTTTAAATTTGGGTTTGTCCTTATTTAAATTTGAATTTGTCTTCCTTTAAATTTGAATTTCTTTGCTAAAGTGTTTTGTATTAAATCAAACTTTTTACTCAAATTTGAGTATAAATTGGAGTCAAGGTTGGAGATGTTCTTATAAATATGAGTTTGTTGTTTATGTTCAATGGCACCGGTGTGTGATTTCTTCATCACACTATATTATGCCAGTAATAAACTACCAACCAACCGATGCACCCAACAACCCGCACGCAAAATCTGTTGCCACCTATCATAAACCTGAGGCTATATAGTTTGCACAGATGCATTATGAATTTAGCTCTTTCCTGCATCAAAATAAAAATAAAAAATTAGCTGTTTTAGAGGCTGCGTTTTGCGGTCCATCTAATATTGCGATATTGTTAATGAATCAGCACATCAATCTCAAAAAATGAAGAAGTGTAATCACTTAATGTGCCAAAGACATGAAACAGTAATGTGCCTAAGATGTGACACCAAGTGTAATTGTTGTTTTATAATGGATTTATTAAGATTGTCAAAGAAATTCAATACAACGTAGACAATATAAGATAAGGGGCATCAGGACAGGGGCTACCAATTGTGTGGGTAAACACCAATTTGAATCAGTATGCAGCAAAATTAAAGTTTCATAGAGTTACATGATGGCACCCCAACAAATAGTAAAACTAAATATAGAGACAATGTTGAAATGCTTCTCAAGCATGCAGTTGGTGATGGATTTCTTCCCAAGCATCAGATGAATGAGAACCCTCAAAGTTATATTAATGATCTTCCAATAAGAAAGATCCATATTAGCACCTTATGATTGTGAACTGCTGGCAAAACAAATAAGTACAATATAATTCGTTGTAAGGTGTATAACATAGGCATGGTCGAATACACAAATTACGCTGGTCATATAGTGATGAAGCAGAGACCATACCGCTCCCTCCGCTCTTGCAGGTTTTTCATCTGCTCCTTATAATGCTTTTCTATATACTGCTTAGCAGCCGCAACTTTCTGCTTTGTGGCATCTGAAGGTCCTTCCTCGCTCGGTGGTGCTTTTGACCCTTCTTTTCCTTTATTTGTAGTTTCCTCCTTGTTCGAACACTTCCGCTTATCTTTAGATCGGAATTTACCAAACCAACGCCTTGCAGATTCCATCTATCTCACTCAACAAACACTTTTCTTCTGAAACAAACCCAACTGAAACCTCAAGTACTATGAATCCACACTATCAAATGTTCTCCGCTCCCCAACAAGAAGGACCCAATTCATCAATTTTTGACCAATTTCAATTCGCATAAAGAGGCCATTTTCAGAATCTCTGCATTCAGAAAGAAATAGAATACATCCAATCAAGTTAGAATAATTATTTTGTGGTAGGTGAGAAGGAACAAGTTAGATTCCAATTTTGCATTATTCCATTTTGACAGATTTTGCTTCAAATATAATCAAGCCAAAGAAACAAAATCTAACAAATAACATCCTTTATCTACCAAAAGTCAAATGCACCATAACTTAACCACTGCATTCAACAAAATGAAAAGAAAAACACGTGCTATGTTTGTACTACTTTTCTCCATGTATCTTTCCATATCTAGCTATTACCCATTTCTCTTATTAATTAGCTGACCTGATCAAAACTCTCTCCTTGCCTCCAAGTCTATCATATGACAATTCAAATACAGAATCCGTATCGAACAGTGCCATGCATACCAAAACTTAAGCTCACTATGTAGACATTCGTAATTCTAAAATACTTTGAAACAAACAACACCCAAATAACAAAATGTGATAAAAAAAAACAATACATCCTAAAAAAAACCTATCCTTTCACCAATTCAAATCAAATTTCATCCCAAACAGACTCCAGTCCATCAAAATACAAACACAGCACTGAAAAAAAAACCCGCTAAATTCACCAAATTTCAACACATGAACTGATCCAAACCCCAACAAAAACTCTAAATTCCAGTGAATTTCTTCACTTGTCAGAAACATATCGAACTGCAGACAGAAATACAGGCGGAGAGAGAGCGAATACCGGGTGAATCCGAAACCCGAGAGAGAGTGATTTGGAAGTGTAGTAGAAAATTTGTGTTGGTTGTAGTGGGCAACTTTTTATGGCATGTCATCATCCACCAGGACCCTTTTTTCCGCAATGGAAGTTCCTTTCCCCTGTTCGTTTTTTTCTGATAATCAGTTCAGGTGGGAGCGTGTGGGTGCCCATTTGTACATAAAGCACTCTCTTTTCATATGTCTCTTCGCGTTTAGTTTACGGAGAGAGAACGACGAGACGTGGTCCAACATTAAAATCTCGTTCTATCTATTGTTTATTATGTATTCTGTTATTAAAATAAACAGAAGAATTTTGGGGTATCGTGTAAGTGTAATACCAGGGACCAATTGTAAAAATGTATTGAATTTAAATTTTGGTTAATCTTTTTAGAAGTTGCGGGAATTCGAGATATTTTGGATTCTAAAGCAAAAATAATAAATGAGATTTTTTTTAAATATTAATTAAGTTTTTATTATCATAATTGAACTTGTGAAAAAAAAGAGAGAGAAGGCCGGAGTGAATGATTAAAATATTATGATGGTTAGTTTCAACTTGATTTTTTTTGGATTAAGGCTTGATTTTTAATAATTTTAGTTTTATTGGTCGCTTTTTCTTTTCTATTTTCCAAAAAAAAAAAAATTTAAGACTTTTTAATTTTATGGACCGAACTAATATGCTCAATCCTCTCAAATTGAAATCTTTTATTTGGGTTTAATTCTAGGTTTTCTATGGGGCCTATTTTTAATAGATTCAGATTTTATGGGGCCTTTTTTAAAATAGGACCTAAAGCCCAACATTTATCGGCCTAGTAATTAAGTCGGTCATTAATTTATTCTTTATGAATATCTTAATTTCAGCGTGGATGGTCTGTCTTTGATCAGACCAAAATAGGGTTTAGTGAGGTGCATATAAGTTAATCGAACACCCCTTACCATTAAATTAAAAGAAAAAACATAAATATATTGGGCCAAAAAATTCCAAATTATACACATAAATACTTTAAAAGATTTCAAAAATATTCTATAATATTTGTAAAAACATATCAAAACACATTGAAACATTGACATTTCGATTTAGTTTTAATCTCCTAGAAAACGAAAATGTTTCGACTGTTTTGAAATGATATTTTAATTTTTGCCTCCAATATATTATTTTTATCATATTCTTTTAACAAACTATTTATCATGAATTATAGAATTTATTTTATTTAAGTGAATTTTTTCCCTCATTAATAAAAGATAATGTGTCAAGAAAAAATAGAGAGAAAAAGTCATCATTTTCTTTTTTAACAGATCACTTACAACTGATTCGAAGTAAAACCTATTTTATCTAGGAGGGTTCCTCCCTAATCAATGATAGACGATTTGCTAAGAAGAGAGAGAAAACGAGGAAAAAAGTATCAAAAAAATCTATATTTGCATATAATATAATACCTCATATCTCATTCCAAAATGGTCTGACTTATTTATTTTAGTAATTTTTTTTTCATTATTTTTCCTTTTTTAACAAATTATAAATAATATCAAAAATTCTGTGTATCATACGAGGCTGGTATTACTTAAAGATTAAGCAAATGATATCAGAGAATGCCTTATGGCTGGACCACCGGACTGGAACATCTCAAAGGAAAAAGCATGGACGAATAATTGCTTTTACAATGACACTTGTGATAGAAAATAAAACAAATAATTTATATATAAAAAATAAATGAGATAATACTTTTGGCCCAATGACATGAATTCTCATATTACACTTTATTTTTTTTTTTTTTACATGGTTGTAATTTCTCTAAAAACCAACATCCACGAAAAAAATGTCACATAAAAAAAAAAAAAAATAAAAGGTGTGCAATTTTTGGTGCATATTGATTGCCATCATTCAAGTCACATAGTGGCAGCTCAAAAAAAAGAAAAAAAAAAGAGTCACATAGTGTAATTTGAAAATTCCAATCTGTCAAAAAGGAACAACCGAGAACTTTAAAATATTCTCGAGAATTTTCTCTTATTAGGATATTAGTAATGGATTCGTGTTTGAAGACATTATGTAACAAAATCAATAGACCAAATTGATCACTAATTTTTTTGGAAAGTAAATTTGCTCTCCCCTATGAAGTAATTTAAATAAAAAGTATCATATGTATTAAAATTTACCTTGTTTACAAACGTTCGAAATGGCATCACCATTGCCTATTTTTTGTCTCATGTTATAAATACAAAAAAAAAAAAAAAAATGAAGAACACGAAAATAATTTTATACAAACTGTGAAAGGTAGGTCTACACACATACAATATGAGAGAGAGAGAGTATGTGAGAGGGATTGGGAAAAGAAAGGAAGACTTGTATGTCACTAGGAATGAAATTGTGGAGTCTGGATTGAGAGAGAAACCTGAAAATCGTGGATTATAAATTAGGCTAGTCAAAATTCGTTTGGGAGGAAAATAAAATTGGGAGAGCTATGGTCTTGTGTAGTTTGCATTTTATAAACTGTTTTCTGTTTTCAAAAACAATTTTTTGAAGAAAAGTTGTTTGACTAATTATATTTTGTTTTTGTTTTTGTTTTGTGAAAATTGAGGACAAAAATTGGATAGATTTGGAGAACAATTTAAAACTATCTTGTGTGTTTTTGAAAATAACTTTTATAAAATTTAGAAAACACCACCACCACCACACTTTCACCATCGCCATCACCACACTTCTACTACCACTACCACGTCCACCACAAATAAATTTTACTGTTTTCTATTCCGTATAATTATTTTTGGAATTATATAACCAAACAAGTTATGCGACATAAAAATCACCAAAAACAGTTTTCGAATACTGTTTTTTGAAACGTAAATCAAACAAGGTATAATTTTTTTTGTCGAATAAATTATAATTATTTTATTTTTAATTTTTTATTGCACCCTATTAATTTTTCCACACATATATAATTCTTTAGGTCACATGCATCAAACCAACTTTGTGAAGTCCGGATTCTCAAAGTTGATTTTATATGCTCATACCATACATAGGTTGTGACCTTGATGTCTGCCTAAAACATTAGGTATGTCTACCACTTGGCATCCAATAAAGCCTTATTAGCCGTCCTCACACCTTTGTTGTTAAAAAATATATTGGACTCTTCTAAATTCTTCTATGCTATGTTTTACAAGTGTAAAACATTGTTTGTCATTGCCAAGGAATCATGAATAGCCGAATATGTCATCTAACAATCTACAAATCTCAAGTTTAACATTTATTTATTGTATCTTATACAGGTCGATCCTCATTGCTCATTTTGAGACATGCTATAAACCCGTTGGGTTACGATTGCCAGTATTCAAATTCAAGAAAATAATCGGTGCAAATCTAAACACCAGTAACCAAAAAAAAAAAAATTATTCTCATTACGCATCTCTGCCGGTTATTAGAATTACATACTTACAATTTACTTATATTTTTCTAATTTTTTGATTTGCTAAATTATAGAAAACTTATTTATAAAGTTTTCCCCTTTCTCATGGAACTCTAGATCTCTTTATCTCTATGAAATAAAATTTCCTAGAAAACGTTCTCATATCACTTTAACCAATGAATTAAGAATTGTTAAAACTGCGATTTGAGATAATTTTTTTAAAAGTAAAATGATAGAAATATATTATGTTAGAATAATTTAGTTGGAAAGACTTTAAACAAAGATTAGTTTTCTTTGGGTAAAAAAGAGGTGGGGATAAAGAATAACGTTAAAAGACCACCCAGATAGACCTTCACTGGTGGGATCATGAGGTCCCTGACCACGCACGTTATACCTCTCATGAACGAACCTAGTTAGCATAATGCTCAATTATCGAGTCTCAATGTGGACTCCAAGGCTCGAACCTTCAACCTCAAGGTGAAAAGTTTGGTCGATACCCCATTGAACCATCTCACTTGGTGATATAAACAAATATTAATCAACTGATGATAAATCTCAAGAAGCTCTAATATATTACATACATCACGTGTCATGATTTTATATAACTTTTACTCGAACAATTTTGTACAGAAACTAATTCAGATTCCCTATATGATTGTCTTTAATTTTGCTCAGAGATAAATTCAACATTTTGTATAAAGAGAAAAATGAAGTATGTGAGACTATCAAACCCTAATGGAACGACCATCGCATGGTTATGCTATCTTTTTTTTTGGTTTAATGGTCAGAAGTATTCGAATCATCAGTTTATGCGTACTTCAACTAATCTCTTCCTTAGTCTAGTTAAATATAGACCATCCACTTTACGATTAGAGTATTCATGAGGGATAAATTTATTTTAATTTGACCCTAAAGAATTGACAAGATTAAAACTCATAACGCTTGATTTTATAACTCATATGTTTTACCGGCTAAACTATCATACATGGTTGCTATTACCTTGTCCTTAACATGTAAATCTTTGCATACATGGAAAGTCTTTGACTTGCTTAAGTATCACTTGCTCATACTTTTGAAAAGGATCAGATTTGGATTTGGAAAATGAATGTCCCACAAATAGGCAACTTGAGTATGGTGGGGTTTCCTCAAGCTTAGGAAATCACAAGGGACCATCTTCAATCTATTTATGGACAAAGGGTCCATTTTCAAACCATTTAGGTGGAATAAGTGAAGGAAAAAGGGTGTCTTTGAAAGTTAATTAGCTTCCCACAATGTCCCACTAATTACACTAATTGGCCCTAATTATTGGCGGATCTAAGACTTCAACCTATATCGAGCTGCGAGTGTTAAATTTTTAAAACGTTAGTGTTATTCAGGCCAAATCCTCAATCCAAATTCGATAATCAAATTCATTGTTGTCGCTATATTAGCTATGAGACGAGTTTATATAGTGTAAAATGGGACTTAATACATTAACATTTGAATTTTGATCTAAGTATATCATGTGGAATGGAAAGTCACCTTGAATGTAATTTCTTTCTTTATCTTCAATACATAAAATAGGTCCAGGGGTAACATCCACCCCTTTTATCAGCTTCAATTTAGGGTACAATCAAAAGGAGTATGTAATCATCCTCTCTAACCCCTCCTGTTTGCTGATCCATGATTTGTTTCCCTCACCTCTAGCTTTTTTTTTCTTTTTTTTTTTAACTTTTTTAAAAAAGTTTTTGGGGAAGGAGACCCCTTTGTTTGATGATCCATGATTTGTTTCCCTCGCCTCTTGCTTTTTTTTAAAACTTCTTTAAAAAAAAAAAAAAGTTTTTGGGGTAAGGAGACGGGGATGAGATTGATACCTGCAACCACCTGAGAGGGTCCAGAGAAATCCTCTGAAATTTAGATTTGATGCAATAAATATCCTTTGAAATAGTGAGGGCTCAGTGAAAAATGGAATCAAATGGTAAAACAAAAAAGTTAAATAGTCAAACTACTCGAACTCAACCCATTTTTTAGATAAATCAAGCTTGAACAATTTTTTAAGCTGGTTTAAAAAAACGAACTCGACTGACTTAATTCGATCTCGCAAAATTCAGCTCGATTAACAACATTACTTTTCAAACATAATTCAACAGCATATCTTTCATCTTTAGATTATTAACCATTGATGAAGAGGCTTCTTTAAGAGACAACATACAACTTTTAGAATACAAAAACAATGAAGAATATAGCCTATAATAGCTGCAAGTTGTCTATGGTTTATTGACTAAAACACAGAAAAAAAAAAAGGTGGAAAACCAAAAAAAAAAAATACTTGATGCTACAAAATGAAATTTACTACTCCATTGCTCTCAGGACATGCTTCTTGATCCCGAAGCGTAGGAGACGACATAAATCCAGGAAAGTATAGGAATATGAATCTGGCGATGAAGAGGCTCTGCTGCTTTCATTCCGAATCCCTGAAGCCTTCGCTTGTAAGCCACACCTTCTTTTGGATAACAAACACAAGCTCATCCCTATCTTGGTCTGTATCTGAAGTAAAATCAGATGTTCCCACTGCTTCCCAGTGCAATGCAGGTAAATATTTCTTCACAAATTCTATAACAGGTGGTTTGTCCCGAATTATAACAAAACCAGTAGGCCTGAGCATGCGATCCATCTCTATCAGCAGATCCTCAGCACTGCAGCCTTTCTTCTCCATGTCAGAAAACACAGTCCATGCATGGAGTAGATCATAAGTCCTGGGGTATGTGGAAAACGCTTCACACCTGTGTATAAATCACCAAGTGAGAACTTCTAACCGAGTTCCCTCAAAAGGAAAATGCACCACCCCATTAGTTAGGTGGTCAAGGAGCAACTTAATCGATGTTGTATTGGCTCTACGAGTTAGAAACAATAATCACAGAAAAGTAAACATTAGAAACACTCATCATTGAAAGCCACTGGCTTTCCTTAGCTACATTTATTAATTCGTCAAAATTTGGGTTGGCTTTGAGCACCAGGCTTGGACAATCTGAGCCCCAGCCCCTACAGATGCAATACACGTAGGTATTAAATATGCAAACCAACTTCTGATGAGGAACAGGCCGAAGACCAAGTCTTTTGTCAGCTTCAAAAATTTCAGTTTCTGGGGTTAGTAGTCCCACTTCCATACCACCTAGGAAATAAAGCTTTCTCTTCTACCCTATCTACGTAACCATATTTCTTCCCACTCATTCCTTGGAATGGGCCTCCAGTAGTGGGTTACATTGGAAGTGGCCTACTTTATCATTTAATTTGAACATCATGGGGAACCCAAACAAAAAAGGGATGAGCTCAGCTTGGGTAGGTCATGAGCTTGGATTAGACCTGGGAAGGACCCTAACCGACCCAAAAAAACTGAATTATAGCCCTACCCAACAGGGTCACCACAACAGCAGCTGCTGTAGTTAACCATTAACATACTGCATCATCATCTTATTGGTCACAAGGAATGCCAATCAGCTACGACTATAGAGTTTAAGATCAAAAAAGTATGTAAAGATTCAAAACACATGTAATTCACATTTCAGAAAAGTTGATATGCATACCAGTTGTGAACGGTGCCAATCAGGCCTCTATCATAAATCAACTTGAGTGTATTGGGTCCATCTTCAGGGACAACATTCATTACCCAAACATCCTTTTCCTTCAGAGCTGCTCCAAATGACCCCAAATTTGCCTTCATGTCCATCAAATTCCTCAGAGTGTCTGATTGGATCTTTGGACTCAAGAGATTCCAGTAATTCTCCACCCTCCGACGCCAACGTTCCTGTGCATAGATGAGCAATGCTCTAAGCCCACTTTTGGGTCTTCTATGGTTCCTTCACCGTGTGTGTATATGCACAAGCAAACAGCACTATGTACAAACAAAATAAAACATCAAGGCAGAGGGATGTTTCAGATTACCGTGTCCTTTTCAAACATTTCATTTGAATAGCCAAAGTCAGCAAGACGGGGAGGAGGGGAAGTTGATCGAGCCGGCCAAGGTGCCAGTCCACTTCCCATTGTTCTGTGGTCATCTAATAAAGAGGAGAAAAACATTAGATGTATTATTCAAGGTCGAAGTTTGCTTCTTTCAATTGACAACAAAATAGGAGGGCCCCTATAATGCTGACTGATCTGAAAAATTCAGAGCTTATAAATAAGTCTTTGTACCAAAAAGACACAAGACATGCATGAACATATGACACACAATCTAAAGAAAAGATGCAAAAAGCTAAAACTAAAAAGGATAAAACCAACAACAGTTGGAACCAAAATTTGTGTTACTTTTCAGAAGATATTTAAGCGAGGAACCTATATCGTAGCCTCATTGCAGTCATGATGATGTCACAGACAACCATCAATCCCATAAGCTGAGTGGCAATTGGAACTTAAAATCTAGCCCATTCAAGGCGGAAGAATGAGCTTCAAAATCATTAAAGTTTCTCGGAAACATTGCTTCCCATATATTTTTATGAACAAATCAATCAGACTTCAACCCTCAAGTTTGAATATTGACAATGATGATAGAGCTGACATAAAGAGTTGAGATTGTCAAATTTAACACCAGAATCAATGTCATAACATATAAACTACCTAACACACCCTCTTTAGTTATTCGATCTACTTACAAAAGGAATATGTGGGAAGCAGATTTGAAGTGTGTTATACCACACGATTGTGTGTCTCTTTTTGTGGTGCGTTTAAAAGAATTTGGGAGTGGGAAAAAACCGTTGACACTATGGAGATGTGCTTTACTGGCTATTATGTGGGTGGTTTGGTTGGAGAGGATCGCAGAATTTTTGAAGGCAAGGAGGAAGATAAAGAGTTGTTGTGGGATAGAGTGAAGTTTTTAGCTTCTCTTTAAGCAGTGGCTTCAAATCACTTTCGTGACATTTCTTTATCGATATTGCTACATAATTAGAAAGCTGCATCTAGCTAATTTTTTTTTCTTTTGTTATTGGATGGATTTCTTATCCACCATCTTTGTACTTCATACACTTCTTATGAAATGAAAGTTTGTTTCTTATCAAATATGTAAAGTGTACAGAGGACAATGTACCATCCGAGAGGATAGCATATGAGATTGTATGCCAAATCTAAATGGCTGATATGCCAGTGGAGGTGACTAGATAAAGCTCATGAATTGAATAACTGTAAATACTGCTTCATCAACGTTTCGCTGTCTCTTTTAAGGAGTTATATCAGTAAAAAATAAAAATAAACATTCCAACCAATAAGTGGCATCTATAATCTCATTTCCCAAGTAATGAGCATTTTTGAATCAAGTTTAAACAGGCATGTTGTAAGCACTGGCCTTCAGTGAAAGGAAGACAACTATGGCATGAGCAATAAAAAGTATAAGATACTTACGATCAGAGTAAGGAGTGATGCATGCTTCCATTGCCACACCCCACACTGCATCCGGATCATCATCAGACCGGCAGAGAGGAGGTTGAGTACCGGGCTCCCTTTCCATGTAACAGTCGTTTGTTAGAGGTTTGACCCAAATTACAGTCTGGTTCTTTTTTGCAGCTATTTTCCAACACATGCGGTCAACAAGTGCACTCATTGCTCTCCATATTCTGAGATCCTCTTCATCCTGTGCATATGCTTCAGGAGATGAGTATGCAAAATAGCCTCCTGGTCTAAGCACCCTATCTAACTCGAGTAGAAGGATCCCATCCCTCTGAAGCCAATCTATCCTGCAACGCGAACAGTGAGCAAGTTCGAAAGATCTGCTTGGGTAAGGAAGCCTCTTTGTGCCCAGAACTCCAAGATATGCTGGAATTCCTCTCTCTAGAGCGAATTGGATCTGATTTTGGTGGACATCATTAGGTGCTAAGGACATTGCTATTATATCAGATGAAAGAAGATAAGCTCCAAAACTTGCAACACCGCAACCAACATCAAGAACTGTCCGTAGTCTTCCCTCATTGTTCAAATTACTGTTTGTAAAGTTGAGCATCTGCCAATGAAAATTACAACTATTATTAAGATGCAAAAAGGTATAATGAAAAAAATGCCGCATAAATGAGCTAATGATCCCAGATATAGTTTGCAAAAAGGGAAGTTAACTATTAATAGTTACACTTTCTTGGCCATTTTTTTTATGGTTCAAGGGTTGGGAATCTTACATTAGCAAGTGACGCAATGTACTTATCAGCTCCATAGTGGAAATGAGTACCTCCCCCAGGAAATACTATCTTTTCACCTTTTTCAACCATCCAATTCTGGTCAGACTTCTCATGTGCTAGGTGAGTATGAGGTATGTTGGCTTTCCACACTTCATCCCTACTCCTTGGCCACTTGATGGGGACCTGCAACAATAAAGGGACCAATAAAGAAAAAAATTTAAGAAAATTATATACAGATAAAATAATCAACATCATTGCCACTATTAACTATCACCTTATACCCCGGTGGGGGTGGAATCAAGCAATTATATCGCCTTTCAGGGAGAGGGCAGTGCCTTTCATAGTGCTCCATCAGAGACAGATCCAGCTTCAGTCTCATTTGGTATATCAGATGTCTGTCTAGGCACGGAATTAACTCTGAATGTCGATCATCACATACCTTTAATATTGAAGCAAAGCATCGAGTATGGTCACTAAAACATATCAACCACAGGAAACATAACAAGGTAAAAGAGAAATTTTCTCCTGGGAGAGAAGAGAAAGGGGGAAGGGTGTGCTATAATCCCTTTTAGCTATAAAGAACTTACAGGGAAGCTCTTTGGTATGATACCATCATCTCCATATTCCAGCCCAAACTTGGATGAAGATTCATCTTGCTTGCTTCCAAGATCAGTGTCTTCATCCCCACCCAAATAAGACGAACCGAGTTTCCTCAAAGAACGGCTGCCATATTCTAGAGCTGACTCTCCATTGCCCTTAGAGCCAAAATACACATACAAAAAAACAAGAAAAACTGCCACAACACCAACAGAAGTGAGCAAGCGTTTCTGCGATCCATCTGATCTTCCCCTCATATTTTATTTTGTCCCAGCAACAGGTAGATGGCACATCCCCTGTACTACTACATGCAAAAATTCAGCACCCAAAATAAGCTAATATGTTGTCTCTTTAAGGCTCTAATTCCAAGAGATGTTGCTACGACTTCCGTTAAAGTCCATATGATTTAGGGACAAATCAGTTAAAACTGAATGAGTAACCTGAGAAGTAAAATCAATAACCGAACAGCATATTTTGCAAGCATTTCAAGAATAGCAAGCAGTTGTTATGATAGATGTTGCACTACACTTAGAACCAACAACCAAGACTTGAAACATTTGCATTAAGAATCAACCCCTTATAACCACCATGAAGTAATATTCAATTCAATGAAACATATCATTCTTTTCAAATTTTAACCTGACTAAATTATACAGCTGATGGAGTATTTAGACAATGGCGTAATAACTTAGCAATAGATAAAACACTGTACAGAGCCAGAAAATACAAACTAGAAATGTGCATCCACATATCTGATTCAGTGGAGCATTGTTCACATCCACATTGCACTAAATTGATCGTCACCCAACCATGACAAGAGATTGATCAAAGCAAGTGTTTCATTCCATGTGGGATGAGAGCTTTTTCTTTTTTCTTTTTTCTTAATAATTGTTGGGTAGCAGTGAACATTTCACAAAAAATTACCTTGATGATCAAACCATGAAATGGATTCGTTTGTGCGAGTGACACTTCATGGTCTGCACAATGGCAGGAAAATACAGGAGCATTAAAAAAATCAAGCAAACCCAGAAAGAAAACTCAAATCCTCCACTCATTTGAGCCTAATGCAAGTAGCCCCGCCTTCCTTCATAAATTGTTTCCTTCTCTTTTCTCAAAAAATGAAATAAAAAAATAATAAATAAAATGGAAAAAAACTATTTTTTCTTGATTTTCCCTAGTTCTCTCAGCATCCAAAGAAAAGTTAGTAAAATCAACAACTCTGAATTAGAAAGGGCATGGAAATTCAAATCTTCAAAGGTTTTGATGTGTAAACTCTCCAAAGCTGATATACAATGTCCAAACATAGAAAAAGCTCAATAAAATTATCAACCGAATAGCTATAGGCCATTTTACCCAGGATGTAAGCCTTGAAATCCAAACAATGACATAATTTCAAGTAACTGAATTTTACTTCTTAAATTTGCCAAAACTGTAAGAATAATGTTAGGATAACCTTAAATCTTTATCAACCAAAGATCTTAAACATTAAAAGCACTAGCAAGAATAAAAAAGAAACCATTGTAATCAACAAAAGTGATCCCTAGGAGAAAGACAAACACCCAGCACAACATGTGGCCCAAAACAGTGGTTGGTAGTAACTTACAACCTTTGATAGCACACTAATTTAAATTTTAATTGTAACCAGTCAGATATTACCAATTGGAAATGAAAAAATGCAGTGCATTAAAGTCAACCGTGAAAAATACAACTAGTCAATTGACAGCCTACGGATGAAAGAGACAGCTTGAGCCAAGCTAGCCACATTGTAGCCAAAAAAATGACAACCGCATTATGAAAAGCGATATTAACACGTTCAAGTGGGGAATTTCAATCTGTTTGGCTGTTAAGGAAAGTAGGAAACTAACAGAAATTATAAAGATCATAAAAACACAAACATAAAAGCTAACAACTAACTCGGGTTAATATTTCCTACTTCTGCTCTTGTTAGTTATCACTTAAACTACCAGTACCTTTGGTAGGAGCCTATGAAGCACGGATACAACGTTATGGTTGATGTATCTGTATCGGATACACACCAAACGTATTCAATAATAAATAAAATACACGGATACTTCACAGATAATACTAAATGCTAGGGGTGCAACTCGGGCGGGTTGGACAGTCAACCTTAAGTATATAATGTTCAACCCTAACCCTAACCCTACCTCGGGTTGATAAACTTAACCCAAGCACTGTCCGAGTTTAATTCGGGTGGGCTCGGGTTGAATTCGGGTTAATGATTTTGGACTTAATTCGGGTTACTTTACGGTTGATTTTGGGTTAATGTTCTAAACCTGATACATATATTACATAATATTCAAATAATTTAACAACCAACAACTTCAAATATAACACAAATATATTACATAATTTAACAACCAACAATCAATTTAACAGAACACAAACATAACATTCAAATATATTACATAATATTTTGAAGTTCTCTTAAGGCCACCCTGATACATATATTACAGCAGACTAAGTTGAAAATCTTGGATTGAGAGTGAGTGAGGTTAAGGGAGGCGCAGTCTCGCAACAGACTAGATTGAGAATCAAATTAACCCTAGTACAAATTATAAATTTGCATTTATATAATAGTAATTCAAGTTGAACCCGATTATTAATTCAAGTTGAGCCCGATTTTAATATTCGAGTTCAACCCGTGAATCCGATGGGTCAACCCGAGCCCAACCCAAATTGAATTCGGGTTGATGTTTTTTGACCTAATCCCAACCCAAGTATTAAAAACCCTTGCTCAAACCCTAATTTTTTTGGGTTGGGTTCGGGTTGAAAATGGGTTGCCCAACACAAGTTGCACCCCTAATTCTCAACTCAGTCTGCTGTAAATGTAGAGAAGTATTGTAATTTTTAGTTTTAAGCTTTACCTCTTCCTTTTGATTTCACATACAATGCAACACATTAACAAAAAATTCATATGACTTGGAAGACATATGAGTATTTTTCAAGTATTATCTATTATCACATGTTCAAAGAGTTTAAATGAGTTGATTACTCTATAATCTTACCAACAAATATTTTTAAATAAACAATATAGCTAAATGTTGGTTCTTATTCCTCTAATTAATTACGTTCACTTTGTAAATGTATCATAGTGAGACAATAGGTAATTTAAAAAAAAAAAATTATTAATGTTGTTTATTATTGTTAAAAAATCACTAAAAAATAAAACTATCAAGTTATTACATCATAGTAAAAATATAAAATATATATTTATAGACGTATTCCGGTCATATCTGTATCCTATTTTTTGAAGTTTTGTCATATTGTCATATCGTATCCAAGCTTCCTAAATAAAAACAAATATTCAATATAACGGTAATACAGATACCACATCATCATCCACGCGTAGTATCACTAATCAAATACAAACCACTAGACATGTTAATAAATTGGATTTCGATTCAAATCCAGATCTGATTAGTCGGATATGGATTGATTTTTTTCCAGATAATAACATGTTTTGCAAAATCGGATTTGGATATACTAAAATCCGATCCGTTAATAATCCGGTTTGAAATTATAAGTATATATTGTCTTTTGATCCACACCATATATTAAAGTTAAAAAGATTTAAACCATTGGTTAAAAGAATATCTAGCCCTAGATAAAAAAAAATAACATTTCAGTCACCTCTCCATCTCAACCACGATTTTCCTTTCCCTCCCTCGTTTTCTCTGTCTCCGGTGTCAATCCACCATCTTTGCTCTAATCGACTACCTCTGGCTCCGTCACTCTCAGTTTCCCAGGTCATATTTCCTTCTTTTTGTAAGTTCTTCTCTACCCCACTTCTTTTTGAACCTAATTTCAAATGGGTTTGGGCTCGCATGGATGTAGTTACTCTCTTGGGTTCATTATAGTCTTTTGTCAGGCATCTACATTCATACCAGATTGTCTTATTTTTCATTTAAATTTCTCCCCCATTGCATTTTCTACTCTATATCCTTTTTCCACGTACATATATTTTTTTAATAAATCAAAAATGAAAGATGTAGAGGAGTGGTTTGAGATAGCTATCAAGTTTGAGTCTTGACTATTTGGTAGAGAAAATGATTAGGAGGGTTCTAGATTTGTAGGACGCCTGAGATAATAAGCATGAGTGTTGCTTGTAGAAATTTGAGAATTTAGAGTTGTTATAGATTGGTTGAGATGGAGTGTTGTATTGGTTGGATTTGCTTCAATTAGCATAATCGGGGATTTTGAATGAATGGATATGACTATCGGATCGAACAACCATATTGGCTGAGTGAACTCCACTATTCCGAAAACCACCATATCCAAAAGTCCACCTTTTCTTGACTTATCCAATTCACTTGATTTTCGACAAAATCTTTACCTCAAAATTGGAAAGATAATCAATGCACGACGTTTTAAATGAACTGAACTAGTCATAAAGAAAACCCTAGCTCTTCAACACCTAAGCCAGCGTAACACAGAGATCCACACAAAACAATGCTCCGAAAAGTTTAAAACTTCCATTAATAATCAAACAAAATCAACAAACATAAATTAGTAAGCATCAAAAGTATCCAGGAACCCTAATTCGACTCAGATCCAGCGGAATTACAAACATAAAGGCACAAAACTTACTGTAATTGAGTCGTGATCCCAATAGATCTGAATTCGAATTATGCAATTGACTGCGATCCCCGTGGACTCAAATGGAGAGTTGTTCAGTCGAGTGAAAAGGAACCCTAGATTTGAACGTGAGTACAGATAGCTATCTGAGAGAGAGAGAGAGAGAGGGGGGTTGTGTTCTGTAAGAGGAAATGATGTGGTATATATATATATATATATATATATAGAGAGAGAGAGAGAGAGAGAGAGAGAGAGATCAATGGGACTGATAAGGGGTTAGATCTCCAGACTCCAGAGTTACCTTCATGTCCTGTTTTTCTATTTTTGGAGAGAGAAAGTGACTGTTGTTGCTCCTGGTCGTTAACGGTTTTGGCAAAAATGATTGACACCTCTTCATTTATGTAAATGACATTATCTCCTTCTTAACATATTACTATTTTCAAAATGGCCCCGCATTTTTGGAAAACATCCAAAGTTTTTTCATTGCTTCTAGTTAGAATAAAATATATCTCACGGAACCACATGTATAAGGTGTGAAATTGAGATATGTAATTTGCCAGTAATTATAAATATCCAAAAAAATTTCTAGATCTAGTACGACTTTGTGCTTAATTCCAACTTCTGAGTCCAATGATATTTGATGTCCCTAGAGGCCAGGTATTTTTAAAACTAATTTTGATGCAACCGTGTTCGAGTTCTAAATTGTTCTTGGAGTGGGAGTTGTTCACATAGACAAAAACACGAATACTATATAGGGTCATTGTCCAAAAGAATGGCCATTAGTTGTGAAATCTAGACGGCGGAAACTATTGTGGCAAGAGTGGCTATTCAATTTGCCATGCAACAAGAGTTGCCAGGAATTATTTTGGTAGGTGATTCTGCTGGAGTCATGAGGTCCATTTAGAGTTGTAAGGAGGAGTTTGACATCTCAGCGCCATTCTTCTTGACATCCAGAGTGTAGTGAAGTTTTTTTTTCTTCTTTTGAAGTGTTTTTAGTTTGACGTACTAGTGATAGAATAGCTCACAAGTTAGTTTATTATATTCTTTCAATAGATAGTAGTGTTGTATGATTGAAACAGACACCAGACTTTATTATGTCTCTTCTTTTCTCTGATATTTCTTCTTAACGAAAATTCCTATCATTTTCTTCAAAAAATAAAAAAAGTCAACTAGTTTATAAATGATATATTTATAATTGTTCCTGTGTACTAACTATTATGAGTGAAATTTAATATGAAAAAAAAAAGGAAAAAAGGCAAACAAAAACATATGCCAAACAACGAATTAAAATGACAAAAAAAAAAATACTTACAAAAACGTTATCAAACGGTATTCAAACAACTTTGGAATGCTTAGCACATGCTTACTCAATTTGAAGAAAGATTTAAATTTGAGGTGGCAAAAGCGATGTTTGCATAAGTACTCAACAAAAGAAAAATTCGACAATGAAGTACCAATCAAATTTCTCACCTTGAAGTTGAAAATTTAAGTTTTGAAGTCCACATTGAAAATTCGGCGGTAGATCACTATGTTAACCTAACACGTTCCCGAGAGAAGTAACAGGCGTGGTCAAGAACCTCATGATCCCACTAGTAAGTACCTATTGCAATGATCTCTAAACCCTGTTTTTTACTCCCACCCCTCTTTTTAACCAGCAAAAACAAAGGAGGAAAATTGGTATATCACAGAATTATGCAGCATAGGTTAATATAGACTGAGAAGCAAGCCGACATGCCTGTCATTTTACAGACCTGCACAGCACTAGTTTGATTGTGCTATAGGAAGGCAAAGCCGCAGAAACAAATAAAACGTAAAACAGCAACCAAGCACCGAATTATATAGTACAAAGGATCCCAACTTGTTCGACATAGAGATATACAACATAGTTACAACCGCGGAATACAAATTTCAATCTTGAGTTCAATTGTACCGGTACAGAAGAAATTTTACAGTTTTACTCACATATCTCGATATATAGGAAATATATCAACAAGGCGAGGATGAGCTGGACTCGATTTCAATATACAACAGTATAAAAAGAAATGATTTTACCCAATTTCTATAAACCAGCAAGTTGGTATGTTGCAATCTTGCACTACCAGTCTGCTCAATATGTGAGTATGATTACAACTCATCTTCACATAAGCCTCTCTGTATCCTTTCCATTCACATAATTTAAGAGAGATACCAAAGGTCTCTCTCAGATAGCCAAAGTAACTTACCATATAGAGCTTCATCATATCCTGCTTCAACAATCAAACAGTGTACAGACGTATAACCTGATTGATCTTGGCACGACAAATAGGGCAACCCCACTTCTTGGCTTTAACCTCGCTTAAACAAGACATGCATCCAGCCATGTGGCCACATGGGATGCAAGCCCCCTCAACTGGAGCATCCAAACATATAACACACGATGAAGAAGCACCCGTATCTTCTTTCTTATCATCTTCTCTAGCAGGTGAAGGCTCTATGACAGGGGAAGATATGTCAACAGGGCTGAAATCAATTGTTGGATAATGTATCGGACCATCAACTAGAACCTCATCCGCAATAGGTGGGGCTGAAGGGATTGAGGCTGGGACAGGACTCTCAGGCATCGTTTGGACAGCAGAAGATATGTCACTGTGGGTGTGGATATGCTGAGCTGGAGTGCTACTCAGACCGGCTTCCTGGATTTCCGATTCACTGCTACTTCCTTTTGAAGGAAGAGGTCCCATTGCACTGCCACCACTCTGACTGGGTAAATCTACGGGATTAGTCCAAGTGGTGGAATCATTTGCTTCATAGACTGGGTGAGCATCAGGAAGAGGTGGTCTCTCTTGCATAGAGGACTGAAGGGAGGCATTGATTGCCATTGCTACTTCTTCATCCTCTGCACTTGGTGGGGCAGTAGCTGGAATAGCAGGAGCTTGGGTGTTGAAAGGAAAAGACGGATGCATTACCTGGATTTTTTAACAGGCATGATTGAGTTACCATAATTTTGTATTGAATAAAGGATTATTGAATAGCCTTTTTTTTTTTTTGTTATTGAAGCTCACTTCCGGTGGAGGTAGAGGTTATGCCAGGGCACTCCTTTAAATGCCACCACAAGCCACGTGCATTTAATAACAAATGGCAACTCTTGACAGGACTCGGAAGGAAAACCCCTTTCCATGCAGTAAAAAATTTCCTTAATTTCTCTGCATTTAAAACTTAAAAATAAAGGAAATCATTGTCTACAGACATCGTGACCATTGGAATTGAAAATTTTAAGAAAACAACCCCTCCATTCTCCAAACTGCTCATATGCTTTCCTGCGCATAATCAGCACCCAAGAAAGTTGAACTGTCCACGACATTTGGATTATCTAGAAAGATGAATTCAGGCAGAACCTATGATTTTTGTTTCAAAAGGTCATTTATGCTACTACTGAGGGAAAAAAAAAATAATCATTAGCAATTTATACCACCACAATTTTGGTCTTGTCACAATCATTTACAAACCCTGTCTAGGCATTATGCACAACTTAAAAAGAGAAGAAAAAAAGTAATATCGGTAATGAAAGACTGTTGTACCTGAGGAATTCCTTTGCACGCATTGCAAAATCTCTGCAACTGTTGTACATCGCTTTCACTGGCAGCTGCAAGTTTAATGCGGGTCTCTGTAATGGAAGCAAACAAAGTTCAGGTTTATTCAACCAGTAAAACACGTTCGTACTTCATATCAATGTATTTCTTTGCTAATGAGCATGTGAAAACCTTCAAAAATTGCGGGAAATAATTATTTCCCAGCTCTCAATGCATAGGAGACAAGCTTATATGACCATTGTAACTCATATTTAAGTCCTCCAGGTAAGAGAATGGAGAAGTTTCATCGTTGGCTCTTACAGTTCACTAGGTAAAATAAAATATAACTTTACTGAATGTTAGTCCTGATTCAAGGATCATGTAGCATGGTTCAACAATATGTTCAAAGGTGTATCTGTAAAGGCTTAAATCCCAACTCAGCTTTAAGTGGAGCAGCCCTGAAGGATAACGTACATGAGTTGAACTGTGCAAAAATGTCCTTGCATCTATCTAGAAGCTCTGTAATCAGACTGGAATAAATTTTTATCACTGTGATTCCATCTCTCTCTCTCTCTCTCTCTCCCAATTCCCGCCACTTTCTCCATTTTGAGTCTTCCAACCATGGAGGAGTCCGGGCTTGGTTCAACAGCCCAAGCGCTATGTGCAAGCTTGGCTGAAAGTTTGCCCTACACTTGTGTGCTCATAAGCTTAGCTTGGATCACTCCATAGTAACAAGCGAAACACATGTTTCGCTTGATTTTTGTGAACTCGAATCATCTCATTGAAAAAACATAAAGGATGTACATAATCTGTCTTAGCGCCAACTTGAGTTGCTAAAATTTTTAATCAAGCCTCATAGGTACAAGAACACAACTACATGGTCATTAGTCTGTCCTGTTATCGCACAAAACTGCTTTTTAGATTAGAAGCTTTTCAATGAAGCCCCTAAATTCTATTGCAAAATGAGAAATTCACTTCATCTACTATCATCAGCTAAGAAGCACGAATACGGACACGGGTGTCGTATCCGATACGATACAGACGCGGCAATACGGCAAAATCCCAAAATGTAGGATACAGGTACGGCGAGATACGGCTAATTAAAATAATTATATATATTTTTATATATATAACAATAACATTAATAATAACAAACAAGACATAACAAACATTACTTAAATTGAAATAGATCAAAATTCAAAAAATATATATAATTTTCAAAACCAGCAGGCAGCAGCACAGATGACCAAAAAAAAAAGCTAGCTAGGAAAGCACAACAAGAAAAGAGAAGACAAAAACACAACAAAAAAGAGAAAACCAGCGGGTAGCAAGCAACACAGCACCGAAAGGCAGCAAGCTAGGAAAGCAATTTTCAGTATTTAAAACCAGGTGGCAGCAACACAGATGACCAAGACCAAAAAAAAATTCCGAAGGCAGCAAGCAACACAACACCGGACCAAAAAAAAAGTCTCTAATTTTTGAAAACCCTAAAAATCCCCAATCAAATTAACCTAATCAAATTTTTTGAAAGTTCACACTCCACACAGACCAGAAGATGAAGAGGTAAAAGCAATAGTAGATCTGAAAAAAAAAAATAGAAGCAAGAAGAAGATCGCAGTCGCAGATCGCAGTCACAGAGCGCGATCGCAATCGCAGGTGAGTCGCCCTTCCTCTTCCCTCTCCTTCTTCTCCTCCTCTGGTCCTCTTGAGCTCCTCTTCTCTTCTCTCCTCTCTTTCTCTCACTCTCTCTCTCGATCGAATACACCGAATGTCGATTGAAGTCGGTTCACAGATCAACGACACTTTAGTTTTTTCTTTTTCAAGCCAAAACGACGTAGCTTTGGCCTTTTTTTTTTTTTTGTTTCGACCCCCCTAAGTTTTTAAAATAACAAAAGTATCCCGCCGTATCTCCCACGTATCCGAGACGTATCCGACCAAAAAAAATGACAGCCACTGTTCAGGACACTTCTACAAGTGTCGGACACGTATCCGACCGTCGGACACGTGTCCGACACTGCCACGGCGACCCCCCGATGAGTATCCGTGCTTCCTAGATCATCAGCCTTGGTACGAGGAAACATTTATAACTATGAACTACAATCAATGGCTGACACGTTTGATCCTGACAATCCGAACATACAGGTGATTAAGATCAATCGACCTTGGTTAAGGCATTAAACGAGCTTTTCCCAATAACACTCAAGCAGCTTGACTAATTTTACAGCCCTATGACCCACCCTCTGGGCATTTAGATCAGTCCATAGCCAATGTTTGAACCAAACGAAGTTCAAATAATCCCTCAATAGAATAAAAATCAAACAACAAATTTTAGCCAATGAGCTACTGAATTTGAAATCTAAATTTTTGTAGAACCTCGGAATTTATTTTCAGTTTTAGTTGGTCCAAAATTTAATGTACTTACGCCTAACTACACGAGGCTTACACCTCGCCTCGTAGGAGGATAAAATACCTCCCCGCTGCCTCCGGCGTCTTGGAATATGCATGAAGATGAAAAACAATAAAGGTATATCTATATATACTTATATGTATGCCAAGAAACAATCAGTTACATAAGCTCCAAAATGTTTGAGAAATTACTGGTGGAATTGTCAGAAATGATCACTGTTGGGTCAGGGTGGTTAAATTTCGGTTCCTCCATGTTAGCCTTCCACAGTGCAATAAGTAAGCGAGGTTGGGCAACCTGTTCATTCATCACAAGTGCTGTGTAAGCTAAAGAATATGACAAGTAGCATAGAATATATTCCAAGCAGCAAGAACAAAATAAGATAGTCAAAATTTGCAAGCATTCATTCATTATTGACACATGACACATGAGAGAGATATCTGAGACACCTGTGTGTGTGTGTGTCTGTGAGAGAGAGAGAGAGAGAGCTTAGCCTCGTGCACTTTATAGACAATCTAATCAACCATCTGGAACAAGGAATCTGTTGAACGTACCGACAGAACAAGTGGATGACCAAAAACAACGGTTGAGACTGTGAGAAAGGACAGGGTTTGAAAAAGGTATGTTACCATAAAATATCCCCATGTAGATTCTCTTTTCTAGTGAAAAATTGTAGTCAGCTGAAAAGATCCTCTGGACTCCTTTAGAAGCACGAATTTGGAGTAGCAAACATTGATCAATCAATGTGAGATCCAACAACTAAAGACCAATTCTAAAGATCATCCTTTCTTCAGAAAGGGACCAGACAAAGAAAGATTCAAAATGAACAAATGCCTTCTTGGACATAATATTAATGTATGGTCATTACTTAGTTTGGTCATCGTTAATCAAGGATGCTAGTTTGGATGGATTGATTATAGACCTAACTTCTGACATTCTTCGCACCAAACTACTGTCCCTACATTTACACTTAACTTGACATTGTTATACTCAACACTTTGACCACTGCATCGGACAATATTAATGAACCATGAGGAACACAAATTCGAGAAGGAACTGAAGAATTTCCACAGAATCATTTGAGATATGTTCATTTTTTATGACAAAGTCTAAAATTTTATCTGGGTTGAATCCTCATAAAAAGTCAACAATCCACAATTGTTGAAGAAAAAGCCAAAAACAAATTTTACTTTTGCCCCTTCCAAGCTTCTGGAAATTGGGAGTTGATTACATTCAAGACAGAAATGATTACACGACAAACCACGTCATCCCGACGAGCTTAGCCCACAGTGAGCTTGTAGTGCCACAATACAATACAGACAACCAGGAGGTAAATAAGACTGCCACCATTATGACACCAAGCTGAACCCACACTCTTGCTCTAGTTTTTGATTTGTCAGTTGCATTTTTGTCATGTATATGCATTAGATTTGTGATTTGTGTTGGAAGTTTGGAAACTTTTCTTATTTGACCTTCTAATATACTTCGGCTTAGTATTTAAAAATTGCTAGATTTCTGCTCATATCCAGTAGCGTATGTCCATATCATTCACCATGATTTGTTTATCACTAGGATCTTAAGTGAAATCTTGCATTTTCTTCCTGCAGCCTAAGAATCAGTGAGCTCATGACTTGAAGCTTGGAGCAACCTTGGCCTAGGGGTAGTACAGTGACTTCAGTCCAGAGGTTGTGCTGATTGGGCTCAAGTAAAACCTGTTAATTCTTGGCTTGAACTTGGGCTGACTACAAGTGTGACCTAACCGCTAAAAAGTGGCAGCCTAGGCACCATTTTTCCAATTTTCTTAAAGTTGTTCTACCTTAATCAAATTAAAGAAATAAAAAGATGGTGAGATACACCAACATAATCCTATATGTTGGACACAAGAGACACTGGACATGAGGTACTATTGGACATAGAGTAGGGAATATTTTGCAAATTGTAACAAAGCCCAACAGTTGCTGCAGCACACTTATATTTTTTGTGTGTTAAGAAACAGCCATTTTCATTAAGATCATAATAACCTGGAATAGAAATCCACCTTATTACAACAGGAAAATAAACACAAAACGCTATAATAGAAAAACCTCCTATTAATTACACGCCACACTCCAACTTTGATGAATTGAAGAAAAGGGGGAAATCCCAATATTCTTTAGAAACCGCAGTCATAGAGACGCTAAAAACTTTAACTCTTGGAAAAAGAGCTTGTATCCCACACCAAACAATTAGGACCACCCAAGGTTAGTTTATCTACTTGAGGGGCTACTCCACTCATTGCTAATTGATTTTGGATTGGATGCTCTAACATAGTATTAGAGTTGGGTCCTGGGTGATCAATGGGCCAAGTCTATTATCCGTTTGAATTCTCGGTATGCATTTGTTTGTTTGCCTATTCTTGGTATAAAGAGAGCTTGTATCCCACATCAAATAATTAGGACTACCCAAGGTTAGTTCATATACTTGAGGGGCTCTTCCACTTATTGCTAATTAGTTTTTTGTTGCATACTCTAACAACTCTATCCCATAGAAACTCCTCATACTTAACTTTGTCTGAACAAATTCTATTATTTCTTTCCATCCACATTACACAAAAAGTTGTCATAACCACGCAGTCCCATAGGATGGAAGTCCTACTAACCTTTCCAAAAGCACAATGAGTTTCCACAAACAGTGAAACAAGTAATGGAAGTGCTGCGATTGACTAACCCACTAAAACGATAGATCTGAACTTGAATTGATGTTAATTCACAAGTAACCCCATACAAGAGTTTACACCACAGTAGTAATTGCAGACAGAAGTATAAAATTTCTGAACATCAAACAATTTCACAAGGGAAGCTAGCTTCCTGGTTAAATGATAAAGTAGACAGAAAAATACCTGTAAATTATTATATACAGCAAGCTCCAATTTGAATGGTTTAGAAAGATTCCGGGAACCGCATGGTAAAACAACCACCCAACTGCAAAACATGCAATATATAATAGCAACAATGTTTATTATAATTCCTTTATTAGAGATAAATGAATTTTATCAGTAACAGCTACCAAGAAAAGAATCCAGTAGCAGCATGTACGCATCAGCATAAATCTAACCATTATTCCATATTATTCAGAGGACACTGTACATGAAAGACGAACAAAATGGTGCCAAATGAAAGCAAAGTGAACAAGAAAGCGATAGAAGGGTGCCCAATATGATAAGCAAGAGGTACATGTTAAGATGCACTCCCTGTTGTTGGAGCACATTCATGAAAGTGAGTGGGTGCATCTACAAATACAGCCGCGTGCAGCTACACACAAATGTTCAAGTAACAATATGAGTTGAAATCCTGTGGGAAAACCTACCCTCCACCCCATTCGTACTCCTACCGAAATAATTAGAAGAAAATGACTGAAAAGGAAAACTGATGTACGCATCTTGCTAAATTGAAAGCATTTGTCTACTTTAACATACTGCAACAGGAAACAAATGAACATTTTACCCACATTTTTCTTGAAAGCAACTGAGGAGCAAGTAATTCAAGAAAGCCCGGCCCGTAAAGCTCCCGCAGCCAACCAGAGAACAAACAGAGATGGCTCTAAGCAGCATACAAAACAGGACAAGAACACATCGTTATACATCTCTAAAAAAGGACAAATATCTTGTGCCCTACACACATGAAAATATAACGAAGGGGAGTAAATAATTTTAAAATACCTCAATTGCACGGACAACATTGCTGAACCCTTTGACTCTAGCAACTGCAAGTGGTGTTTGACAGTCATCATTCATCGCCAATGCATTTGCTGAAAATTTGTGCAACAAATAATCTATTAAACTGTTAACAGTGGAGAAGCACCATCGTATGCTGCTCCAAAAAGCTTAATAATGCAATATTTTCTTATTATGATAACCGTACACGCACCTCCATGTGAAAGAAGTAATTTGACAGTCTGTTCAAGGCCCTTTTTTGCTGCATGATGTAAAGCAGTCCCAGCATTGCGTCCTAAAATCAATTTTTGAAAGGATTTAAAAAGGGAGAAAAACACGAAGATGCACACTTTATCAATTAAAGATAAGAACCACATTGATTAACTTTGCATCTGAGAGTTGTATGTTATAATTAAGCATGAGAAATAATAAAATGATCAACACTTGCACAGTTCGGCAATTTTACAAGTTAGGGTGGCAAATTCCAACAGCACCCAGATACAATATCTACGGATCCCCTGTATCTCTGCATTTTTGAATAAAATATGTCCACTTCCCAAAAGAATGAGAATCAACATCGCACAACCCCATATCTTAACTTCACTAAAAATCTTATATTCATTCTTAACAATCAACATAACTTTGCACTCTCAACATAAAAAAAGAAAAAGAAAAAGAAAAAAGAAGAAGTTAAAAATCCACTGAATACTTTCTCAAAAAAAGCACTAGAGACCAACATACCAGGACGATAAGCATTCACATTAGCACCCAATTCTATCAAAGTCTTGGCAACATTATAAAGTTCCTGATTCATACAAGCCACAATCAATGGAGTCTTCCCTTCGCTATCAATCCACTGCACCAAAAATACTACCCATTACTCATTTGATTCGCATAAAAACAATCCACTCATTACCAACAACAAAGCTCCTATACAGCACAATTCAAACCTAAATTATTGCCACTCAAACATATAGGAACACATACACAAACATATCTATACGTAGAGAGAGAGAGAGAGAAAGAGAGTCGATTTGGGGGTACCTCAAGGCCAGCACCGTCGGAGCGAAGAGCTTTGATGCCTTCGGTGTTACCGTAGTTGACTTGCTGATATAGCAATTCGTCTTTCGATTGTTGTTGCCCCATTGAAACCTAGCCAAAGATTTTCAAGGAGAATCTAAGGCTAAGTAGACGAAAGTAGGAGAAATCTGAGGCAGGAAAATGCAAGTGAAAGGGTATGTATATGGTATGGTTTGTCAAATGTAGAAATAAATAGTGAAAATTAAAACTGGGACCTCTATAATTTCTCATATTTTAATATCTACCCCTGTAGTGTCTGATATTAGACCGGACTACCTTATAGATTGCTTGGTGAAATCATCCAACTTTTGTCAAAATACCCACTATACCCTTTGATTCCTTCTTTTTTTTTTAAAAAAAAAGCCAATTTTCCATTATAAATATTAAAAACACGCACACATACAACACGTTCCACATCTCCGCCCCATAAGCCAACCCACCACCGCCACATGTACACGTCCACCTCAACTGCACATCCATGATACATCAACAAACCACAGTGGCGATTGAACAACATTCAACTAACACATATTTTATTTCCAAATAACACTCATCTTTGAAAATCATTGGAAACACATTATATCTCTTAAATGCAACCATAATGAAACCTGATGGTGTAAACTGCTGTGGATGAGAAAAGGATATGGACTACACTTGGCAACTTGGATCTGAGCTACAAGGCTCGTGAGGATTGTGCTTAGATTATCTAGGCGATTAGGGTGATATGCACAATAAAAGTATAGTGGTTCACTAGCTTGGAAGCTCGGTTAATCCACTCTTCAATAGAGACTCTTGCTCATTTTTTTTTTATTCATCTAGGATTTGATTTACAAAGTTTCTTTTATGATATCAGACTTTTTTCCTTTTTCCTCCCCTTCTTAAGGAGGCAATGCACAATATTTATAGCGTGATTTGAATCATTGAGGGATATTCAGCGAGATCCTTGCTCTTTAACCACAGAACCTTCCTTGATTTTAGGAAGAGATCTTGGGTGGTTTAGAGTTTCACTTCTTGATTACTTCCTCTTTGTTGTTTTGTGAACGCCTCTTGTTGACCAACAATTTTCTCTTTGACTCCTCTGATTTTTCATCGGAGAAGAGCTCGGGACTTGGGCTTCAGAGCTCTGAGCTCATTGTCCCACCTCGCTTTTCAAGCTTGTACTTAGTAAAAATTATTTGTTCATGCATCATCAAAACCCACCTGGGTAAAAAAAAAAATCAAAACCACCACTAAGCTCCAAACCAAATTGGTGAGAGATGAGAAATGGAGATGGAGAGGCATAGAATGAATTTGGGTGTTTGGACCAACTTATAAAGTATATGTATGTATATCTAAAAGATGGAGAGAGACACATATACATTTGAATCCTTTTTTATTTATTTATATACTATTCCATGAGGGGGAGATGACGAAGTTCAAATCCTTAACCTTAAGGACCAACAACAGAGGCGATGACCATTATAAATCTAAGTATATATGTAAATACATATTAGTGGTACTAGCTAGGCAAGTATTTGAAGTATATATAGTAGAATAAGATTGGATATCTTTTTTACTTTGGTTTAAGTAATTCAAAATCTTGTCACTTGAATAAAGAGGGAGAAAAGAAGGTTTGTGAAGCTTGATCTCTCAAAATATGATTGTGCAATGATAGTATACACACACACACACACAAAGGGCGAGAGATAGAGGTGTGTTATGCAAAGTGGATTGAAATATCTTCCAATATATTTTCTCTTAATTTTTTTTTGTTAGATCATCTACCATGTATTTAAGTGAAATTGATTGTGTATAAGTAGGCACCACACTCATCAACAATGGATAGATTTGTCAAGAAAAAAATTAAAGAAAATATGTATTGGAAAGAATTTAAGTCCACGAAAAGTGGGGGCAAAAAACCAAACAGGAAGAGAACATATAATGCAGGGGTAGATTTGGTATTTCGAAATTTTGATATGTGCAATATGTTATTGTGTTGTCCCTGTTAACACCGGTGGTTGAAGCGAAACCTGACATAGATTACTAAAACATATACTTTTAAAATGTACAATCGTTTGCCTTGACCTGTAATTACTAAAAACTATGACATGGTTAGTGTAATATTTACCAATAAGAGAGAATGGGAAGAGTTCCTTAACCAAGAAGGAAATGGAAGGAAATGGACGTGTTGGGTGAGAATCAGGTGTTTTGGAGACCAGGGAAACTAAAGTGATTTCAAAAAATAGGAGGTCGGGTTATGTCAAGTATGTGTTTAGCCCACTTGAGAGATTTTTAATATCTCAATTACTTATTTTTTGTTTATGAAATAGTGAATGAGTGTTTATGTGGTCACTCAAGACGTCCAAATTATTCATTTTTTCAGTCATGAAGTTGTTATGTAATTAATTTTAACCAAGCTTTTTTTTTAAAGAAACGATAGGATTTTGATTGGATAGGAATATCTGAAAGGAGAAGGGGCATATGATATCGGGTGTTGCCTCCTCCCATATATCAAACCTAGCAACATGATTTGCATTTCAAGCTAATTGATGTGCCATCCTATTCTCAATTTTAGGAATCGTAGACAAACTAAAAGTTTGGTTTTTTTTTCTTTAAGGTTCTTCTCACTTCTTCATCTTTAAAATCACATTTACAAAATTTGACAAACCATTGAAGAGAAATTTAGTTCCCATATTTAACTAATTTTTGTCTAATTTGCATTCCAAAACCCTAGTTCTTTGTCGCCAAATGCACCTTTCATAAACATGAATTCACATCCCTCTCACTACATTTTTTTTTAATTTTCTTTAATGGTCGATAAGTCATAGATCAATGGGAGTCCCATTTGAATTCATTATGGATGATCTACATGACATGCACGACAATCGGTGCTAAAGTTCCAAGGGCATGGAATTTGCAAGAAGCAATATCCACAACTCGGTGAGTGCTTTTTAAGAAGAGCTTACTAACAATCGCACTGACTGTAATAGATCGATTTTCGTGCAAGTTTTTGCTCTAATATGAAAGTTCCATTTCAGGAAAGGACGACGAGAGTTAAGCTTTAACAACAAGCTCCATGAAATAAACAAAAAAATGGAAAACATGTCATCTATGGTTTTACTCCTTCTACAGTTGCAACTTGCATGGCTTTGGTTCTTTTTTGGAAACTCTGGTTCATGGCTTGTTAAATTGAGGCAATATTTTCTTCATTGAATTGTTGGCAATCGAATCTCTACTCCTCTCTTCCCCTTGGATACCATGCCATGCTCAGAAACCGCCTAAATGTTGACTCTTTTGCAGTCTTAAAAGTTGGATTGATGCCTGAATGATATCCAAGTCCACCATTGGCATTTCTCTCCAGCATATCTTAAGACAATCACAAGACAAACTAATGAGAGGAAAAACACACATTCTTGTACTATAGGGGATTCATGACAGAAATAGCTTTACAAATGGCACTAATTTTTTCATGGAAAGTTCATCATTTGATGTACAACTGCACTGGCAACTATCAGATGCCGAGAATACTACAGTACTCAAGAAAACAGAACCAACTGAATAAAAAAGCTACAGGTTACTTGTTCTGCCTCTGGTCATAAAAACTCGATCTTGTTGTACTTCACATTCAAAGTGAATGTGGAGAAAGAATCCTTTTGTTTTATCCATCTCAAACGAAGTCAGTTCCATTCGAAAAACAAATATTTTGGCTCTACAAGATTGTCATCACAGAGACGGTCATTCTCCCTATGTACTGAAATTCCTGCATTTGAAGGGTCTAAACTAACAAACTAGTTCTAAGAAGATGGTGCTTCTTCATTATTTTCCTCAGCACGTAGCGGAGTCCCAGATGGTCCAGGTGGAGTGCTGGTTAGCTTGGTTGTGCTGTACTTTTTAAGCAGCCTATCTTTGTTATCCTTCCACCATTCTTCTGCCTGCTGTGCTGCAAACCTTCGCTTGCTGTAGAAATAATGTCACGTTTAAAGTGAGCTACAGAAACATTTGGGATATCTTTAAAAAGATTGTTCCATCAATTTTTATAGCAACATCCTGAAAAATTGCATTAATAAAGCTAACAATGTTGTTACATGTGCCAAGATTACTATAATCATCAAGTACATTAATAATGCATTTAACTATTGCCTAGTTTTCATGAGAATGTAGAAAGCATGAAGTAATGAACACTTACTTGGAATGATCAATCAAATATTTGTGGCATTGAAGCAAAAATGCCTTAGACCTTTTATGTTTGATGCACACTGTTCTGAAACTTATAGGTATTCCACTTCTTTGGTGATCAACAGTATTTTTTGTCACAAGGATAGAGATCTATGGGAAGTAATTTGAGCCGAGGAGACACAATGGATTGATTGGGATCCCCGTTTTTTGCTTAATGTTAGGACCTTCTCACATCAACGGAAAACAAATCAGGAGGCAGAGATTTCTATGAAGTGCTGTTTATATTAATTTGATGAAACCTGTGGTCTTTTTGACCTTCTGGTAGTTTAACCCTTAAACATGTCACAGAGGAGTCATAAGTAACAGAGGAAACTCCATAATTGTAGTTAGCAACCAGGTTTCACAGGGCAAAAGGTTGTGAGTCATAACTATTTGGGAGCTTTTATAAGGATTTGATTATTAATAGTTATTTTATACATCTTGGTAGCTCATGACCCAAGTTTCTAGTTCTTCAGCTTAATTTTTCCAGGTCTGTATTTAAAATAAGAGAACTAACCAAAATTGTCTGTTGTGAAAATGCTGAGGTTTATCAATTTTATCACTTAAGTTGAAGGTACATCATTTTCAGAAGGATCAGGGGTGGGAATTCTAGGGGTTATATATTTAAATTAACTGGTATAATTAAGGTTGATGAGGAACATTTAAGTACAATCTTGTACATATCACAAAGGTGTATACACATATGTTTTCCATATACAGCACTGGCAGCAATATTGAGCTGATTTTACGACCATGTATTTGCACGAGTTGTGAAAGCTTCAAAAATGGTTCATGCAAAGTTCAAAGCGAAAGAAGAGCAGGGTAAGTCATCAAGTGAAGTACCTGAATTTCACTCGCTTGAAGATCTTGGTTCCATCTTCAAGTTGTATGAGAGTTACATACACACCAGGTTCAAATTGTTCAATTACTTCTTTTTGTCTCTCACTATTTGCAACTTTAGGTGATGTTGAGTCATTTTCTGTGTGTTGAGGGGCAGCTTCTCTTGAGCCAGAAACAGAGGATCCATTACTGTTTGGTGGAGTACCTAGAGTGTCCACATGATCCTCCATCCTGTCAGCAAATTTATTGACTGAACAAGCTTTATGAGGCACATTTTGTTGGCCTCTGACCAACTCTGGTAGCAAAGAAGAATGATCTTCAGATATTTGAGTTACATTGGTAGTCAGAAAAGTTTCAACGCGAGCATGGATAGCTTTAAAGGTGTCACTTTCAGAAATCTCAGGAGGCAGCTTCTCTGCTATTTCGTTCAACTGAAATATCAAACAAGTAAGGAAAGAAATAAAACAGGCATATAATTGGATTCACTTCTCTTAACGGAATAGAAGGGATTCATAAATCATTTTTGCCTAGGCATGACAGGAAAATCATGCCATAAGTTTCCATTATATGAAAATGGTACCGGACAAGTACAAACATAACTGAAGGATAAACGAAGGTTGATATAATTTTGTCTCGTTAATTACCCAAAGAAAATATAATTTTGTCTTGTTCTTCTTTAGCATTTGAGAGATTCAATTTTTGTTGTCATATTCATTTCTGGTGGTGCAGAAAAGTTGGAAAACATTGATGCTTAGTGTGTTTGTGAAAGTAAGGATCTATATATTCACATGCACACACACAAACATACAACTATCCATGTATATGTTTGCAGTTGGTTAAAGACATCAACCCCAATCCAATTGGTTATGAGTAGAGAGGTCCCTTAACCACGTAAACCAACTTTGGTTGGCCCAAATCCTTTAATGGGGGATACAAGCTCTTTTTACAGCCTCCCTCATGTAGAAACCGGGCTTGCACGGGGCAAACAAACAAATAGACAACCATGAATACTGCAAAAATTCCAAATGGGTGAGAGACTAGGCCAACTAAACCCAAGCCCCAGACGTGACACCATATAGCGGCATTTAACCCACAACCAACTGACAATAAGTGGAAAGATCCCTTAAAGATTTAAACTAACCTCGGTGGCCCTAATCTTTCCATGTGGGATACATTTATGCGTAGATATGCACGTATGTACATTTATCGAAGTGACATTGAAGGTTCAGGGGGCAAAAGCGCAGGCGAACAACCTAACACAACCATATGGTTGTAGTGAATATGAGAGCGGCCGCAGTCCACATAATGTAGAGGGTTAGACCTGTATACATTCCACCTCTCCTAGTACACACAATTTAGGGAGACCAAAATAGGTAATGGCCTTTTAGTTATATCTATGTATTTTTGCTACTCCCTGACAGGGCCAGCCCAGGAATATTCAAGGCCTAGGCAAAAATTTTAGATGGGGTCCTAAATTATTTTTAGATGAATAATTTATTTATTTTTTAAAAGTTTCAAATATTTAAATTCATATCTTTAAATTAAAAAATAACTTGGAAAATAAAAATATTATGTAACTAATTATATTAAAATTAACTTAACTCATAAATTATAGATCAAGAAAATAAAGCTGAATAAATACGCCAGAGTTATGACAAATTTAGATAAAATAAGAGCGTAGAGCCTTTTGTGTACAAGAATATGATACAATCTGTTTTTTTTTTTCCTTTTTGAATGTACATATATTTATGATTTAAATAAAAATATTTTAAAAATATTTTTGATCATTTTATGAAACATGCTAATTTTTAAAAAAAAAATTATTAAAAATTTATTCACATAATTTTGTGAGATATACTCGAACAGGGCCCTAGGCGACCGCCTCACTCGCCTAGGGGTGGAGTTGGCTCCTTGATATATAACATAATGACTACCACATTGAGCTCTATTAAAAGGCTTTTTTTTTTTTTTAAAAGAGGGGTGCAACACGAGGACTTCCCAGAGGGTCACCCATCCTAGTACTACTCTCACCCAAGCACTGCTTTATTAAAAGGCTTAGCCCTGATTTCTGGACATACATGATAGTATCTGCTTCTTGGTGAAAATGTTATGCAGTTTGAAGTATGCTGTTTTCCCATCTGCAGATATGAGTCATGCATTAAGATTATTCAATAGTTGAAGATGACGCCATAATGTTGCAATGTTGCGCCGCCTCATAATTGCAGTCGAATTTTTAATGCAAGTTACAGACATTTTACATGTTAGGAGTTGGAATATGTGAACTTGTTGCTGTCATCAAATAAATGAAAAGAGGGAATGCAGAGAATACCTGAGCTGTGATGGATTTGACGATTTCTCTAGCAATAGTACACTTGCAAGATTCATCAGCAGCCAAAGAAGCAGCCTCTTGAGCATTTTTCAGTAATTTTTGAATCTCTGTATCTTGGACTTCACTTTTCTGCTTTAAAGTTTTAACCTACATCAATGTCAACAAAGAAGAAATAAACCACTCTTGTCTAGAGTCAGCTTCAAGGTTTAAAGCCTTATGATAATGAATCAATAGAAGAATGCACCCAAGCTCTTTACATTAGCAAAAGGGAGAATTTTAGTACTTGGTTTTGTAGTCTGGAAACTTCTTGATTCAAAAGCTCATTTGTCTTTTTGAGACTATCAATGATACCCCTAGAAAATACAGGAGTGGTAGACCGTGGGGGGCTCGGTCTCCTCGAGTATGGTGAAGCAGGTCTTGAAGAGGATGAAGGCTGAGGAAGAGGCTGGAGCTGTTGTGGAGGATGAGACTCAAGCTGCGGCTGAGGTGTTGTTATAACAGGCTTCAAAGCAGATTGAAGAGCACTAAGTGAACTGGGAAATGCAATGTCTTTAAGTTGTAAAAGCAATGGAACTTGGGAAGCTCGCACTATGGAATAAGAATCAGATTTGGTCCCAGGCTTTGCAGACTTCACCTCAAGGTACTTGATTGGTTCAGTTGTGGGTGATAGCAGAATTCTAGATGTCCTTGCCTCTCCTCTGTCTAACCTAGTACTACTGTCTATGGAACGACGAGGGGCAGTGACTTTCCTACTAAAAGCCGAGGTGTTACCAGCAGCCTTTTTGAGTTTCACATAACAAGAGTCACAGACACGATGTGGTTTCCCTGGAGTTGGAGCCAATGCTGCTTTCAATGTTTTTCTGGAACTGCAAGCATGGCAATGCACCAATCCACAGTTGTAGCAGTTGTGTCTCTTTCTAGTGAAACCAAATGCTTGTCGACAACCAGAACAAACAGATTGATCAGAGCCGGAGACCCACTTATGAATACATATACTTGTAGTGTAGTTTGAGCCGCATGCTATATTTTTCACATGCCTATCTTTTAGTGCTTCAACCAAAGTTGGAGTGGCCCGATCTTCTGTGTCTCCGTGTCCCAATCTTCCATTGTCACCTCTACCCCAAGTGAATAATTCACTTCTTGAGGTCAGGACAGCAACATGATACGCACCACATGCTATTTCTTCAACAAACTCACCCACCAATGTGTCTTGTACTAGGCAAGGTAACTTCCCATCCGACTGTGGATTGCCCAGCTGACCATATGAAGTACTGCCCATGGTGAAGGCATGACCAGATGTAGTAAGGCCAACTGTAATGTTGTGTCCACAAGCTAGCTGATGGAAGTTGTAGTCATTAAGTGCAGAGACAAGTGTTGGAAGCAGACAAGTGTCCTTGTTTCCATGACCTAGTCGATTTTTATCACCATCACCCCAAGTGAACAATTTTCTTGACGAAATAGTGACACCAGACTGGTCTGTTAACTCCACAATAGCTGCAGTGTGCCATACTCCACATGCAACCTTTATAGTCTTTAGTCCGCTCAATGATTGCACTTCCCTGGGATATGGAACACTTTCTCGGTCACCATGGCCTAAAGCACCGAATGTTCCGTCACCAAATGTAAATAACTTTCCACTGGAAGTTGACAATGCTGAATGCCATGTGCCACATGCAACAGAAAAAACTTGAAGTCCTTCCAAAGGACCCGAAACTCTTTTTGGTATCCAGTGGCTAACATCACTGCCATGGCCAAGAAGTCCAACATTATGGCTACCATCACCCCAGGTATATAAATCACCAGATGTAGATACAACACATGTATGATATTCACCACATGCAACAAGATCCACATTAGTAACTGCCAGAAATTCAACAAGACGAGGGCGACTGAAGTCTTTTTCGATCCCATGACCGAGTCTGCCTCCAGATTCCTCCCCCCAGGTGAAAACCTCACCTTGCCTGGTAACAAGAGCAACATGTCGGACGCCACAAGCAATTTGGTGAACATCAAGAACAACATTTGATTCCAAGGGCTTAGGAGTCAGTACATCAATTTTGGTAGCAATTGGAGTCCCAGATACATCAGTTGCAACTCCATCAGACCAAACTTCTCCCCAGACATAAACATCACCCAATGATTCTATGTCATCTGGTCCAGAGCCTTGACTTGAACAACTAGGAGTGCTTGAGACACTAATTCGGAAACCATCTCCAGTGCTTGTTCTTACTTGCATAATTGCACGTTCAGACCCCACATCTGAGCTCGGTAAATATAAAGAAGTTTCACTACAACTAAAATCAATGGAGACCCTACTGTTGCGGGGAATATTAGGAGTGAACTCTAGACTTGCACCAGATGCACGCCCACTTTGAATGAAATCACTACGACCATCATTTAACTACAAAATAAACATGTACGAAACTGAATTACATGGTTGGAATACTATTCAACTACGTAAACATTTATTTTGAGCAAGGGAAACAGATGAAAGGAGTACGTATATGGTACTTCAAGAGCTATCACTAGAACTACATGAACAAAGAATTGAATTGGATGGCATATATGTCACACTACATCTACATATAGTATATCATGTAACAATACTCTGCAATCATGAAACCAAATAAGTTACCATGAATCTTTGCACATGACAAGCAGTCCTATAGTACCTTTATGACGAAACAGAAATTTCAGATGTAGACGACACCTACATACTCCATAGAAAGCTTTCTCATAAATTTATACAGTGAAGGCAGAGACTTCATATTTCAATTTATGAGACAATACCAGACATCAAAAGCAGTGACATGATCTCTAGAACTAGAGGGAAAGTATAAAATATAGAACATATATAGTAGAATGTTTTTCTCTATCATAGCCAACAATAGACTTCTAGCAATCCATTTGGGACCTATTGCTCTGATAACGAGAACTTATATCCACACTTTTGGGGGCAGAAAGAACAGTTAAAATGAAAAACATGACAAGCTTGTGCTCAACAAAAAGTGGAAGTAGATATATGTAGGAAATGATCAATCACACCAAGTATAAGAATTAGAATGAGAAACTTACATAAGAAATATCACTCCGAGTACGTCTACTACAATTTTGACCTGTTGGGATTAAAGCTTTCAAGCCTGAAAGCCACACCTCTGCCTCAATGTTGTCCTTGCAGATCTGGAATGGAACAATCAAAGGGGATTAATGGACCTAAACTAATCATTACCCAAGTTCACATCAACTTAAAGGTGTTAAAGGTAAAATTAATGGATTTGGTTCACTGACCAGATCAAGAGATCTTTCGCCGCTATTATACAAAAGTGAAAATGACAAATATTCCTTCTCAGGGCGCAAATACCTTCTAAAGACAGGCTGCAGGGACACAGTTGACAAGTATAAAATAAATTTTCAATTTATATTGCCAATTGATGGCATTTTGGCAATTATCACTCTCAAAAGCAGATTAGATCAATTATAAACATAAAATCGCCAATTCACCCTCAGAATAATATGCTAACTCACGGTTCTTTGCCCAGGGATAATCCGTGAAACAGAAGACAACTTCAGATTCCTTTCTGCTCCGTTCGAGTACCAGATCAGTGTGGTTTCATCCTGCAAATATCATCAAATGCTAACAATGGAAATGTATGAAACTACTGGCTTATATATCATTTTTTTTTTCTTGTAGTAAAAGATGAAAATAATCTACATCGTAGAAATTTAGGAATGCTAGTGTTTTTTCTTAGCAGTGCCCTTCTAACTAAATTTATACTAGGTACAACATATACCCCTGCTTTCTTGTGTATACATTATGATCACCATCCTTCTAGAGGTTCTCATTTTGCAAGACATGTTCCCACTTATGTACACCCTAGCCATGCTTCATTGTATATTCCTCCCTGTGCATTTTCGTAAAACAAATACACTAGTGTATAACCATTTTACAAGGCATGTTCCTACTCATATGTACATCCTAGCCATGTTTCGTTGTGTATTCCTACACATACATTTCTGTTAAACAAGTACACTGGTTTATAACTCAGGCAGGGGAGAAAAAGATTAACTTACTGGAGAAACTCTGAATGGACAAAACTTAGGCTTTCCCTTCCGACTGTACTTGATTAACTGGGTACCTTTTTTCAGAGCAATGAGTGCCTTCAAATGAAGAAATGAAAATGATCAAATCCTATTAATTGGATTTCAATGGAAAAATCAGAAAAATTGTATTTCAAACATTGTAGTATGCACGAAAAAAGCACAATTTTCATACCATCCTGTATCCCTTAACTTAAGGCATTATCAAGAGGAGGAATTTTTTGACAAAATTGTTATACAAGCATTAGACCCATAGAGAGGCAAAGCAAAAGGCTTTAAATATCATCAAACAACTGTATGTACTATCTTTAAATTTGGAGATATATCAATTCTCAACTTCCATGAAGGACGTGACAATGATTCAGACATTGCTTTGGAAGCTGCTGAAAATGGAGGTCTTCCAGGGGCTACTCAGGATCGTGGAAGTGCAGAGCCCGGGCAAATACAGGCTGGACAGTCCTCCCCGCGACAGTACTAAACTTTTTTTTTTTGTCCGCTTACAGGTTTATTTTTTATCTCCTAACCACATGGGCGTAGAGAAACTGAATTTACTAATAAAAAAAAAAATAGATATGGACTACGAGTTCTGTTCAAATCTCTTGTTGCATGTAATTTCCTATCCATGAAATTTTCTCTTTCTTTTTTAAGGAAGATGGTGAATAAGTATATATCTGGTGCAATCAAAAGCTCTCACTACTATCAAAAACTAACAAACTTCCTAGGATAGGGATGTTTTAAGAGTAAAATATTAGTTATGGAGGCTATATGCAGCTGAATCAGTGGCTTATCTTAGTGGTAACTTGAGTCACTGTGGAGTAGATACTCATCATGTACCAACTAGTCAAGTTTGCATACTAAAAATTCATTTTAACCAGCATATTGAAGTAAAATTCTGCTTCAAGTCCCTAATCACATAAAAACTAAAGTGGTGGCTTAATGAATTTTTTTCTTGAGAAACTAACACAATTTAGAGTCAACAAACCGAATTGTTTACCCACTACAAACTATGACACATCTCAATGCTACAAACCAGCACAAGAAATAGGAGCAGGAGCTACCACTACTGCCCATCAAGCATCCTAGTTCACACCAAATTGCTCAATTCCTCACTATCCCCACTAGTAAGTCATATGATTCAAGGTCGCGATATCGGCCATCAACTTGAAGGGCTCTGAGACATATTGGTCGCAGTGTAACAGATGGTATTGGACAATACAACCCAGCTGAAGAACTTGGACATGGAGAGAAATTCAGGCCATATCACGCAATTGCGGAATGGTATCATGCGATTTGGTGATGGTTGACTCACGATTGACTTGGAGACGTCTCAGACGACTTGACTGAGTCATGTGAGACTTGGAATTTTACGTAACGTGAAGTGGTATCATCTCAGAAGGTGCCGAGGAGTCGAATACAGTCAATACTTTGAACCTTGGTAAGGCTACAGAACCATGATGTAAGCCTCCAGAGCCATACTCAAAACAGCTTAAATAACCAAAACAAAGTCAAACATAGCTAAACCACATACACAATTTGATTCATCATGATGATCAAACAAGTTCCCTGGTGGGGTAAAATTGGAATATTGAAGTGTAATTTTGCTTTAAGTCTGTAATCACACCAGAACAACGAGGTGGCTACATGCATATAATAGTAGAATCCAGTACAATAGCATGAATAAGACTAATGTATAACATAATTTTTCAAGGAATTTTCTCCTTAACACACCTTTATGTTAACCAATTGCATATAGTATTGAAAATTGGGCATGTCCTTACAGTTGAACATTTATAAGCATGTGTATATATACAATAGACAGAGAGAGAGAGAGAGAGAGAGAGAGAGAGACCTGCTCAATGTCACGGTCAGGGTTGCCATAACTAGCAGGATCTGCCATTCCATCTGAAACAAATCTCAGGAAGCTGCCGAAGAAGCGATTTTGTCCCAACCATCCGCATAGTCTTCATAGATGCCAATGCAATCTGTGTTGGCCAGTCATCAACTTCCCAAAACCTTCAAGAATTGAAGAAGAATGACCATAAAATATTCGATAAAATGATCAGCTGATCTTATTTCAAATCTCGGAGGGCATGACTAACTTCGATTTACAAATCTTCTTGATCTAAACAACTAGTAACCTACAAGCAATGTAGCAAAAATCACAAAAAAAATTTCGAGAATTTGTGTGAAGTCATATCGAATTTCTCAGCCGAAACACGATAATAGGTTTGGAAAGTTGGTTGATCAGAACAGATCACACACGCACAGGGAGTTGAAGAGAGAGAAAGAGAGAAGAACGAACAGAGAGAATGAGAAGTTTTGGGGAATGTTTGCAGCTCAACAGAAAAGGGAAGCGACTTTGGCGGGCTTATTTAACCACCTTATAAAAACTCTTATTATTTTAAATTTAACAATAAACTAAATGTTATTGGACACATGGAACCCTGAAGTTGGGCCTAATTGTACATCACCCCCCCCCAAATTTTTAAGTTTCACTTAGCCCCTCGTACTGATGAATAAACCGCAAATCGAATCGTAGAGGTGTCGATTCGTGTCGTGTTGCTATTTTCAAGTCGTGTCAATTTCCATGAAAAACAATCTATTAATGTTATAAATATCAAACATTACTCCAACTCATTTAATATGCGTATTTGTCAATCGTGTCAATTTTAATTTCGTGTCATGTCGAGTTCATATTATTTTGTATCGACACTACTATATAATAGCAACAGGAACTAAGTTCATAAGAATTTACTATAATTATCCTAGTTCAAACTACCCCTAGTATACTATGTTTTTTTTTTTTTTTTTTTTGATATTTCAGCTATTCAATTATCCTAGTAGATCACTAAAGTACTATTCTGCTCGTGTATCGGACTAATGCTTGGGGTGTCAATTTTGACTTATTAATACGAATTTGACACGAACGATTATAAAATTAACATGATTATTAAAAACGTATAATAAATAGTTTAGACTAAAGTTTACTACTCAAAACACACTAAATAAATTTTTTTTATGAGTCTTAACACGAATAAAAATAACACGACATGAACAACACAACATGCAAGTCACACGAACGCGACACAATTGACACCCTTAGCAGAATCTTTTGCAAAACTACCTCTCTACACAAGGGGTTGTGTTTCGTGCGATATTTGAATCCCCGACTTCAGGTTTATTAGGTGGCTAATTACAACTGGGCTAACCTTTTGAGCGTCCTAGTGTAATATGTGGATGAAGTGGGTGGAGTGGTAGAGAATTGAGGAATATGTCATTCAATTACTTATTACAAAAAAATAAAACTAAAAAATTATTCCAAGTACTACGAGAAATTTTTCAAGCAACTATAGAAAAAAAAAATTAAAACTTGAAACCCAAAATAGAAATTAATGTGAGTTAGTATAGACTTCAATCCAAAATAAAATTTGGCCATACTATGAAACATTGGAGGCCAATTTCAGACAGATTAATGTTGTATCACTAACTCAAGTTAATTCTTTTTTTTTGATACACTAAAAAAGGGTGCAACACAAGGACTTTTCAAAAGATCATCCATCCTAGTACTACTCTTGCCCAAATACGCTTAACTGCAGAATTCTAATAGAATCCGGTGTATTAGTGTTGGTATGATCGCACCCAACTCAAGTTATTCCAAGGCACACTTTAATCTCCTAAATTGTTGAAGTATTGGAGTCATGTTGATCCTTACAAATTTGTTCCACAATCATTTTAGCTTCATTTATTCACGAAATAAAACAAGAGTTTTTTGTCTTGTCATTGGAGAGAGAGAAAGTCGTACCCAACCTAATACATGTCTCTCACCGATAATTTAATTTTAAAAAAATAAATAGTAGACATTTCCTCCATTTTTTTTTTTGAAGAGTAGAGCTAATTCTTAAACTCGAATCCGTGACATATCACTCGGACGAATAGACATTTGCAATTTATGATTAAAAACCGCTTCGCTGCATTTCCTCTTCTCCATGGAGTTTCAACCACTTGGGTAATTTCTTCAAAACTTCTATTTCCAAACAATACACTACTGTTTGGACAGGCTCTCAATGAACTAGAGACATTTTCACAGGACACACCTTCGATTCTGTAGAATAGTTTTCCACAATTTTCCAAAAAAAATTGCTTAGAAAATAATTCAAAAATTCTCATTTTGTCAGCTATTAACAGTCCTGCCTTATAAAAAATATCTACAGAAGTAAAGGATAAAAAATAAATTAAAACCACCATCTAAATTGCCTTCTATGCAATAACCTGTCAAACTGCAGAACTCAAGAAACTTCTGTAATCTTGAGTCTACCAAATGTGTATGGAACAGAACACCATGTTTATACCCCCCCCCCCCCCCCCAACCCAACACACAGAGGCCAATATCGATACTAGGCTGTGATGCATCTCAGTGCCGACATTGCGACCTCTGAACCATGACACACATGAACACAAAAATTACTTTCATGTAGAAGGGTATATAACCTGGCTCCTTTTCATATTTGCATTTCTGAGTGCATGGATTGCTCATATAAAAGTTGCACCACCTGCTGGTCTGGTGGTAAAACAAAGAGGCTTACTCAAGGTTGGGTAACCACAACTGTTCAGTCAGCATGATGGGCGTTCTGTCGGTGAGAAAACTCTTTGGCCAATTCTATAGAATTTGGGCATATGGCGAAGTTATTTCGGCAAAAGAATAGAACAGATAAATTAATCCAAATGTATATCACCAGAAGCAAAAATGGATAAAGGAGTGAAGTCTTTCCTTCAAATTTTAATTCTAAAGGATAGCTGGATCTTTATATCTGTTGAAAACTTTCTCAATATCCGCCATGATTTCGGGAAGCAGAGGCCGCTCAGTTGTCAAAAAAGCATCAATGTCTTCTTTCAATTGGTCCAGAGACGTTGCACCAATAATTGAACTCGTCACAAATGGACGGTCTCGTGCAAATCCTAGTGCTAACTGAACTAGAGTTAGTCCATATTTTTTAGCCAATTCAACATATTGTATTGTTGCTTCCTGGAATACACAATACACAAAATGTTAGGGTGGGCACTGACGTTAAATTCCCCTTGCAGACAAACAATGGGAGCTCACTTACGACACTAGAAGTAAAAGAACGAAGAAACCACTAGTCCAAATGAAATGCAACAGCCAGAGTCATTGTGTGCATAGCACTACATACCATTATCAGAACTTTCAAAACAAAATTGGTCATCTGAAAAACTCAGAGAAGTAGAAAGATTCATGTAGCTAGATCATAGCATATTCAGAATGTCAAAGCTAGGTCAAAGATTTAGCAGAAAGTCGCAATATTCACAACGTCAAAGATTCATGTAGCTAGGTCCTGGGTAAAGACCCCCCAGGTCGCCGCACCGGGATTAAATCCCCATAAACTTCATCAATAGCAAGCAAAAGCAATTGATTTGTCAGAGTGAAGTCATAGGGATAGGGTAACACAAATATGGTGGCATTAGGCCTGGGCCAATTTTGTGGGGTTTTCTTTTTTTTTTTTATAGTCAATTAGGCTAGGGTACTTCCTTTGGTGTGTAAACCAATTTTAGTCCTACCGATTTTTTAATATAAAAAAGGTCCTCCGGTTTTTGAAAAAACTAGCATGCGGTCCCTATGTTGGCGAGAATATTAAATGATTGGTTAATTACTTATTTTCATTACATGATTTCAGTCTTAAATATAGTTAGTTTCTTTTTTTCATATATTAAAAGATGATAAGAACATGTGATCTTCAAAAATAACCTTTAAAAATACATAATGACATTATTAAATTAAAATTTTCATATTCTCCATTCAATTACAATGGTGAAGAGAACTTTTGGATTTCTGGGTGAATAGGTGATCTTGCTGATTGGCTCTAATATTCATATTTCTATTACTCTATTTATATCTATATCTATATCTATACTACTTCTAAATGTCAACAGAAGAGAAAAATATTTGTTAAACCAAAATAACCTTCACAAACTAACTAATGTCTATCCTACCTTTTTGTAATTGATAACATTATTATCTCATAATAATTGTCATAATTATTTTATTGTTGGCTACTATTTAAGTTTTGCATAAACAATCTTGACCGTTGGGTTACTAACATTTTAATATCATAATGAATAATTACAATATCATTTTTTTTCACATACCCACTTTTAAAACCTACAATTAGTGACTTTTTATTTTCTCTTCCATAAGTATCTCTCTTCATCTATTCTCATTTTGCATCAATTCATTAACCGAACTCTCAAAGGAAGATGAAATTAATGGGAAAATGAATCATCATTGGTTGTTTTAGCTTTCTACCATTCCTCATCTTCGACCTGGTCAATGTTATTTAAGGCGTAAAGTGAACCGAAGCGATTAAGGCTCCTAAAACATAGACGAAAAGAGAAGCAAAACACTTAAAAAAAAAGTAAATATTTTAGTTTAATTACTTCTAAACATTTAAGTTCTAATTTATATATACTAAATATTTAAATGCAAGAAAAACCATAAACATTTAAATTACATCAAACACTAATAATATCTCAAATCTTAATAACAGTCACAACTTAAATATTTAAATTCAACCAAATACTAATAATATCTCAAATCCTAATATTTAAAAACATAAGACACAATTCAAGCAACTTAACATTTATTCAATGACACTACAATCAAAGGAACAAAACAGTATAGGAAATCAACATTATCACATTACTAATAAAATCAGCAACTACCAGCAAAATCATCAAGTTCAAATGCATTACAGAAAAATTAGGATTACAAAAAATCAGCACTCATCATTACAGAAAATCATCATTCAGCATTACAGAAAATCATCATTCAGCATTACAGAAATCAGCACTACTATCAACAAAAAAGCATTACAGAAAATCAGAATCATTAGCCATAGAAAATCAGAACCAGAAAAAACAGTAAAAGCAGAAGCAAAAAAATAAAAAACAAGAGCAGAAAAAAAAATAGAAGCAGAAGCAGAAAAAAAAAAAAGCAGAAGCAGAAAAAAAAAATCTCAGTATTAGAAAATTAGCAAAAGCAAAAAAAAAAAAAAACAGAAGCATAAAAAAAATACATAACCAAAAGCAAAAAAAAAGAAGAAAAACAGAACCAGTGTCTGGACCAGCAAAAAAAAAAAGTGTGGACCAGCGAGGACTAGAACTAGAACCAGAGAGATGAAGAAGAGAAACATAACCAATGTGTGGACCAGCGAAAAAAAAAAGTGTGTGGACCAGCGAGGACCAGAACCAGAAGCGAGAAGAAGAAGAGAAACAGAAGAAAAAAGAAAAAGAGAAGGAGACAAACCTATGTGTGGACCAGCGAGGACGAAGTAACTGCAGCAGTCGTTGTCGTCTCTGACCAACGAGGAAGGCGCTCGCTTTCTCGCCTTTCGCTTAAGTGCAAGGCGCTTGCTTTTCTCGCTTTTTCCTCCCCCCAATCACATTTGCTTCGCCTGGGGTACTCAAGGCGACAAATCCTCACCTCGCCTCGCTTCGCTTCGCTTCTCGCTTAGGCGAGCTTTTCAAAACATTGGACTTGGTTGATATAATAATTTTTTTGTAGTAGTATATATGTATTCTCTTTCTTTTTTTTTTTTTTTGGTACAAATGTCAGGATCACCATATTTACGGCTCACATCCTTGAAAATAATTTCTCTCTACTCCAATAGGCTTAGCTTAGAGTGTCTTGAAATTGACTTGAGTGGAGATATGGATACGTGAATACATGTTTCTTGTGGTTTCCATGTGAAATCTTAAAGAATTTGTGCCATTTTTACCTATGCAAGAGGTGTAGGCACTCTTATTGAGAGTTCTTGTTTCCATACGTATCAAAACTTATATATGCTATTAGTATATTGCCTGTGAAATTTCAGGTGAGAACCATAAAATCCCTACAATGGTTGGCTTGGTTTTGTTGTGTATTTCTAATTAAAATCGTTCATTCCTTTGGCAAGTAAATGGATTTGTAGATGTGATTAACACCAAAACCTGTTGTATTTCCCTTGTTGATCCTAACTATTCATTTTTTTAGTGGGTTGAGAAATCTTGGTTACACATAAACCTCTTGGCATCATGAGCTTGTGAGGTTGTGCAAATATAATCATGGCCAAACTTGTTAGCATGAATCAGTGTTTTCTAAGCCATTGTCGAATGTTTCTAAAACTAGGTCACTTGATTTTATGAAGTAATAAATCATAAAGTAGGCCATTTTTTAAAGCAAAATAAAGTAGGCCATTAAATATATAGAAAAATATATCTAGGTAAGAGAAACCTATTTTTATTGTCTGTATCTTGATTCTTTTTATTTTTTTGTTATAATAGGACAATATATTACATATATAACTACAGTAAACAACATTACATAGAGATAGTTCTAGAATAACATACTCCCATTATATTAGCTAGAAGTTTTATTTTATTACATTCAAAAGGTTATTTTTGATGCTTTTGAAAACATAAGTTAGAAGTCAAATTGTAATTCTATATCTTGATTCATAAGCACATATTTGATAGCATAGTTGTTATATAATTTCAGCAAAGCTAAAAATATAAAAATAAAATTATAATTCAAAATGTCCCATGTGCAACAACTAGTATATAAAATAGTTGAACTACTCGGGCTCGACTCGAGTTCTAAACAAACCAAACTTGAACAATTTGTTAGGCACGTTTAGAAAAATAAGCTCGCCAGGTTCGGGCTTAAGCTCGGCTCGATTTACAATCCCTAGCTAAAAGCAACTTGCCTGCCTTCTAAGTGGGAAGCATTACCATACTACTGTTCATTCAATAACCTATAATTAGCTTTCCGGGACATTTGCGAGTCACATTTTGTTTGACTATCAGAAACTATACACTGAAACCAGAAAAAGGAAAAAGGAAAAAGGAAAAAGGAAAAAGGAAAGGATACAAAAAGGAAACCAAAGCAAAAGAAAACATGCATACATACCAACAATTGGAAACCATAGAAGGGCATACTTATCTAATTCATGAAAAATATTCTTGAGACCACTTCGCATAAAGAAATCTTTGCTTGATCGACATGATGGTTGATTCCAAACAGGTAAATGTCAGATACTCTGTCTAGCTCAACCACAAAGGCAATCATAATCAAACCTCAAATGTCTCGCCATTCCAATACAATCCACGGTATCAATGAAACGTATGTCACTAGACTCACTTCGTATGAGAGATTTATATTTCAAACTGACCAATAAAGGGAAGTATTATGAAGAAACGCATGGCATGAAGACCCTCCTGTGTTTAAAGTCTGCATAATTAAGGTGAGTTTGCATCTAAATACTAGTTATTTCATATTGGCAAATATGTGTTCATGCAAATTTCATATCTACTCTTCATAATCATTAGATTAATAGCATACCTTGGCAATCGATCTATTATATCTTTCCATGTAGCCAGGGAAGAGGTTTATCCTCCCTTTTCTTGCAGCTTCAGAATTCACATCTAAATACTTCCCTGACAGTGATCCACCACCCAGTGGAGAATAAGCAAGTAAGCCAATATTGCAATTGTTTGGGTGGCATACTTCAACAAGATCAACTGCAATTATATTAAAAACATATAAAGCAGAATCAATAACATGATTTTTCCAAGAAAAATGAATTTGGACTTCAGTTATATCTTCCAAGTCACCGTCATCATAGTTTTGAATTCCATGTTAAGTACCAACAGCTCATTGAAACTGAATTGCAAAATGGCCATATGAGATAAGAAGAATGGTTTCGAGAAAGTTAATAATGCAGCCTCAATTAAACATAACTCTGATGAATATATATTGATATGAGTATTACAAGATTTCAAGCAAGTTCAGATCACAAAAAAGATTCAGATATCTATGCATGCATTAATAAACTACTAATCATGCAAAGACTCATTACTATGACAAGCAGAATGCAAAAAATCATTTTTATGAAATAAGCAACCATACACTGATAAGGCTGATTCTTTTGCAACATGTGGAATCCATTGTTGTCTAGTCCTGTTCTATGATTGTGGAGCCTATTTTACTTTGGCATAAATGCAAAAATAAAAAATGGTAGGGCAGATGTTGAAAGTGACTGCAGCTGCACCGTATTTAGGTTATAAATCTGTACTATTTTGAGAAGGAATTCAAGGAAATAAATTCCCACTTTGTCTATCCAGAGTGACAAAGTAAAATGATATTAAAAAAACGAAAAACCTGGGAACACCCTACAGGAATATCAAGCTTGGAAACCAGAACTTAGAAAGTTGGAGGCTTTCATGAAAAGAAGGTGAAAAAAGACCCCAAAAAAAAGATGGAAAAAAGGATCATTTTGAAGGCTTAATGTTTTAAGCTTCAACTTCAAAAGGAAACAGGTCCCTTTCAGTTGTCAATAACATGGGAAGATAGCTCACCTTCAAACTTACATCTAACCAGCAGACTGTAGCTGTTTTGAATACTGACAATTTTTGGTAATCCTTCGACTTTTGCAGCATGAACAAATTCCATCACTCCATATGAAGTCTCATTGGAAACACCAATGTAGCGCACCTAAATATATTCATATGCTTTCAGCATCACCTCAGTAAACAATGACACTTCAGGGAGTTGCAGAATCAGCCAGATGTAATCACACGACTCCTTTTCTTTTAAATTGACCTGGTTCTTTTATACAAAGTCAGCGCAAACATTATAAGACTGCACAAATATTTTTTCCAGCACCAGTTCAAAATTTGAAGATGTGCAGGCTTTTGAAGCTCATGTGTAGCCTTTTTTTACCATCTTTTGTCTGACAGTACAGGCAAAACAACGAGGGGCACCACTCCACACACCCCATATCCCTTCAAAAAACGTAAGCTGGATAGTGGTTATCTATCTGCTTATAGGTGTGCACATTAATTTCCTCCCAAAAAGAAAATATAAAACAACCAACAAATAAATGAACCAGTGACGATAAATCCATGAGTTTACCCTCGTCACAATGGATTTTCCATTATTATGAGAAGATTACTGGTTTAAGACATTCTAAGATTTTGCACACTACACGGCCATAGTATGCAAAATAGTCAGGCCCATCTCCAATAACATGGTTTCACTTGTGTGCTATCAAATGATTTCATGCTCACAATTGCACTTTCTTTATTTCATAGACAGGTTTTTAGTTGTTTACAACATGCATTCTGCTGGCTGATTCACCACAATCATAAATGAGTTGTCTGCCAGGAGAAACCAGATGCAAAGATGAAGTGAAACAGTGTTACCTTTCCTTCATCAATGAGTTCCTGAAAGGCCTTGAGCTGCTCAACAAACGGCACGCTTGGCCTCCATTTTGAAGGATCATAGGTAAATTCACCAAACAAGGGCACGTAACGGTCTGGCCTGAAACAGAACAGTTAATTGTTATCTCATGATTCTCATTCACATCCCCAAAAGATACAGAAAAAGATTATTGATGTGACTGGTCATTGAGATATACGGAAAAACACATGGTAGTTGAGATCATACAATCTTACAATAAAAAATTTCCAAACTCAACCGACTTCCACCTTGACTGACTTCATTTACCTCCTATTTCTTTTCAGTCTCTCTCTCTCTCTCTCTCTCTCTCTCTCTCTTTCTCTCTCTCCATTCTTTATGTAAGATTGATTCAAATCGCTTATGGTTGTTGCTCTGGCTCACAGGCTGCTAGAGTGAAACTACAGAGTATCGGTAGCTTAATCTGTATTCTTTGGACTAGGAGAAAAAAGGCATACGTTCTAGCCTTCCCTATCAATGCAACCATAAGTCCCACCATATGTTACATGGCCGACCTGTGATTTTGGGATGGTTTGAACCAACATGTTTCAAGCTTCTTTCAAGTGGAACTTCCCCAAAACAAATTATTATGAGACAAATTAGAGAATTGCTTACAAATTTCATACCATACCATGATACGACTAAACCAGTATAAGTTGAAGTTGACAGTTTCTTATTTATTTTTCTCTTATTATTTTATTGGTGCCTTTCAAGCTTGCAATATAATGATACATCAAATAGCAAATGGTCAAACACCAAACCAAGTTTCACATCCAAGATTAAAAGAAGTCCAAGACCTTGGGGGAATTTTGTCAGGAGCAACTGCACCGTTGAATTCAGAGTAGCTCTAAAATATCTTGAACTATGTGGAGGTAAATGTGTAAATGGTTCAGAACTTATTAATAAAAATAACTGCAGTTCTATTGCAAACTTGATATATCTTGATGTTCGTATCCGATCCGGTGAAAAGAAATGAAAGTGAAGCAGTACATGCATTTCAAGAATTGATTAATAATAAAAACTCACCAATGTATTTGCAATAAATCAACGTAATCAGTATTGAGACGTTTAAGGCTTTTCTCTACACTTTCCTTTATATTGGCAGCATCAACCCTCACAACCTTAACATTGTCGCGTATGTAACTCGATCTCTCTGAATAACCACTTACTTTTGTAGCCAAAATAACCTAACCATGAAAGAAAAATGTAGTATATTAGATCTTGGAACAAAACTATGTTTTTTTTTTGCACTTGTAGTACAAGGACTCAATGGTTATAATGGCTAATGCACCTTAGAATGTATTCAGATACAAAAATAATAACCATTTAGATTCTACAGCGGAACTTAACCATTAAAAACACCACAAAGAAACTTAGCCATAAATGTAAAACAAAATTCGAAATATTTGTGGTTGACCAAACCAGAGCGTGCAAAATGATTATAAAGCAGAGAAAAATCCTTAGTATGCATGTAAAATTTTATGATAGTCTAGGGTAGTATCAAGAACAGCAAATTCAAAGACTTCCAGAGTAAGTTCCAAATATAAAATAATGATAAGTCGTGAACAAAGTAATTCAAGTATAAGTGTCAGATATTTGTATACCGATTGTAAATGGCATGGATACTCCATTGAAAATGGAACAAATAGGAAAGGAGAGAAAAGTACAAAAATTAGTCCCTATCATTTGGCTCTTGTGGAAGACTGAGTTAACAATCTACTCTACCATAAGCAGAGTTGCACATTTAGAATTGCATCGCAGGTTAATATGACAAACTATTCCGAGACTCTTGGAAAACTTTGGCATGCAAAAGCACAAAATAAATCTGAAACAATATTCCCCCCCCCCCCCCCCAAAAAAAAAAAAAAAAACACACACATGCATATGTAGGTATTTATCTTAGTATGTATATGCTATATAATGTGTTTATTGGTTCAATTTCAAAATTGCAGGGCAACAGAAGAATAATCTGGTCATTCAACAATCCAGAAAAAAAAACTACCTTGTTGCGAGGTTGGGACTTCAGCCAACTACCAATATAGAGATCTGTTCTCCCTTGTGTCTCCTTTTTCAATGGGACTGGATACTTCAGGGAAAGAAGAAGAAAGCCATATTTTAATATATGAATTCCATGTGAAAATGCATGACTTTGACAAGCAGTACATGTACGAGAGTTGTATTTTCAATAAAAAAGTAAAAAGTTTAGAGGTTCAAGTATTTGATAAATGAAACAACTACAGAAGATTAACAGAAGTCATGTCTGAAACCTAAAGGAAGATCATCAGATGAACCATCCAAGAGGGAGATAAAGGCAACACAGGACAACTAATTAAAGACATGCACATTGCCTCTATCTCAATGAGTGGTGACAGTTAGTGAGCATTAAAACTGGACCAAAGGAATCCCCAAGATTAAAAAAATATGCAGGAAACAGAAACATAGAATTTGTAAAATAAGTGCATAACAATTTAGTGAGTATAAAAATTACAGGCCATTGTGTGGTGCGGTGTAAATGCTCATGCCAAGACACGAGGTTGGAGGTTAAATGTGAGAACACCCATTCTGTGGAAATGCTAAAGGTTATGTTAATACTCAACTAACTCCCAGGGCACCCTTGATTAACAAAAGATCAACGTGAGTAATGCCTTTGGCTTATTATAATCATATAACCAACATTCACACGCACTCACACACACATATAGTGAATATAATATTGTTTCCGAAGCGAATGTCTAAATTTCACATCTTTTAGACTTCATTTTTCATATCATTATTAACATCCGAGTTCCCACCCAGATTCGGTTTCTGACTTTATGAAGGACCATAAAACACACCAATAAAGCCGTGATCCATGAAGCAGATTGTCAAGTTGCAAAAATGGGATGCTAATGCACTTGTGCAGATAAAGTATAGTCTTGAAAGTATGTGAACCAACTAATAATGGTAGGATCAGACTTCAGGCAGTGAGACAGCCTCAGAGTAGCCTGGAGGGGAATTGATATATGAGATCCCAAATTTTAATTGTTTTAAAGTGAAAATAAATGTCATTGAGTAGTCACAAGCGAAAAAAAAAAAACGAGATAGTTGTATGGAGAGAAAGAAAATTATCAACTTCAGAGTTTCCTTGACTAGCATTCTGCGTCTATGGTCAGGGAAAAATGAATTGAAAAGTATAAGATTATATAGAGAAATAATATACATAATTTAGGAGTTTACTTATTAACACCCTGCATCCATGCTTGTTTTACATTCATGTTTGAAACCACAGGCAAGATGGCATGTCTCTTACTAAAGACGCAGGAAATTAGGTATCATGGCAAAGTATTGATCATCAAATCACCAGAACATCCAAAGATTTTATATATTCTCCATGTAGGGTAATTTTATGGTGATAGATGTTGAAAAATGCACAGGATTCCCCAGGTGCTGCAACCGATGCTACCAAGGGCACATGCCTAGTTCAGTATACAATTTAATGTTCTGTAGTAGGTTTATGGTATCAAATCAAGATTCAACAGACTCTGTCACTTGCCTCTAGTTTGCTACCACTGGGTTTTATGTACTAGCCACCATTAATTTTGCCAAAGTTTTGGTATATTCATTTTTGAATGAAAAATTAATATATTCATGTCCTTATATGATAGATCTTGTCTAACATTGGGTTCATGCAGAAAGACCAGCCAATCACTGAGCAATCCAATCCACCTCAATATGTTCACAAACAACATAAACAGTGGAGAGCAGATCTTCAAAGACTATAGATGCATGAATTGGAGTTTGGGACAGTCTTTTGACAATTAACATGCTCAGCTGAAAATTTTCCTTCAAAAGACATGTAAATAAGAATAAATGTATAGTTCCATGAATTCATTCTATTTATGAACAATAGATATTCGAGACCCAATTTTAATGTCACCAGACTCACCACTCTCATGCTTTTGTTCTATTTCCTGCTGTAGCTCAGTGTCCTCATTACTTGCCTCAAGATTCTCCTTTAGCAACTTGTCTTTTTTAATTGGAGTATGATGACATAGCTTACCGGAGAGACAGTTCCATTTATTATTTCTTTCCTTTTTTTTTTTTTTTTTTGGGGGGGGAGGGATTTCAAAATTTGAAACCTTGCTGAAGAGAAATAACAAGAACTCTGGCGCTTACCATCTCTGAAGTGTCTATGATATTGATTCCAAGCTCAAATGCATAACTAAGCAGTTGATGTGCCTCTTGTTCTGTGTTCTGCTCCCCATATGTCATCTGGAATAGCAGAGAAGACAATTCATCGTCAAAATCATTCAAACTCAACTGTAAGGAAAAATGATTCAACTTAAATCATATGAAAACTGAAAACTTTCAAAAATCATTATCCATAGGAACATGCTTACATTAAATGGTGGGGAAAAAATACAATTAAGCAAAAAGAACCCAACCCCCCTACCACACGAGGGAAAAAAAAAAGCAAAAAAAGAAGAAAAATGAAAACATCTTGGGTCTTCCCTCCTTTCAAGTTATCAGAAATCCACTAGCCATAACCTACCTAGTCTCTGCCCCAGAATTCAATTTTCAAAGTGATTTTGCGTCATTAATTTCAATGCTATGCCACGTTGATATTTTAAGGTCCACTCCTCCCAACATTCACTATTAATGGCAGTTAATTACCGCCTTTTTTCTATGTCATGTGATATAGTACTTCCAAACAATTTCCAATCTTCTTATGCTAACCAAATGCAATGCTCATTGATTTTCTTCTCATAGTAAAACATTCTTTACTTGTAGTCATTCGTGTTAGATTATGCTTTTCCATAGAGAAAAGATTGCATAAGCATTATCTTGGTTTAAAACCTAAACTCCTAGAATTTCATCTCTCTTCTTATCTATCTTCTCTATATATAAAACAACCCTTGCTTGAGAAACCTTCCCTCCCCAAATTCTTAATTTCTAGATTTTTGAAATATTTAATTAGCTCCATCCAATCAAATTATTTTATTTAGCTTATTTAACTATCCCACAAACCAATGGGTCTTTGGTCCAATGATAATCCTTCCCTTGTGAAGGCTTTGCCTTCTTAATGTCAAGGGTTCAAACTCTTTCTCCCCTCCCCCTCCCCCAAAAAAAAATTAAAAAAAAAAAAAACCTATCCCACAATCTTTTGTAACTACTGCCACTACCATTTTAAACTATTTCAAATTTAAATTTTCACACATCTTTCTACACTTTTTCACATTTAATAAAATTATTTTAGCTCGTTAATAGATAATTTTCATAAATTTCGTGCATCACATGGCGGCGCCCGCTAGTTCAAGTATAAAAATATAATCATAGCACATTTGAGCAATAACTTACGGGTATAAGATTTAGTTATAAAATTGTTTAACAAAATAAAATTACTTCCAGAGTTTTCTTATAAATTGAGATGCGTATCTACTATCACATCTACGCATGCATACAAGTGCTCTATGTGTCGAGTAAATTCTCAGAGGGGATGTGTCAAAAAACCAGAAATTCAATTCCAAACACAAGTGAAATCAATTAAACGAAAGGCATTAGCGAGATTAAGACACAATTCTATGTAATTTAACAGAAAATGCTAGTGAGAATGAAGAAAGAGAATCCATCTACACACAATCATCAGGGACAAAAGCTTTATTTGATTTGGTTTGACAGAACTCACGGTGCCTAGAGTGATTTCACTGATTTCGAGGTCGGAGTCTCCCAGTTTCTTGTACTGCAACGCGCTTTTCTGCCCCTGTTTCACACTGATGGCGGTGGTGGTCTTCTTGGAATGGGAGGACGACGAACAATTCCTCTTGAAATTCGGCGACGATAGATGGCGCGTGAAGCTACGGCGAGAGATACAGCGAGTGTTGTTGTTGTTGCAGAGGAAGGCGGGAACAATGGAGGAGGTTAACGATGAAGCCATGGCTTTGCCTTATCTGTACCAGAAGAGGTCTCAGCTAAACCGAGGCTAGATTCGGGAGTGGGTCCATAGTGTGAACGTGTCCGCAAATAGACTTTATCGTTATTTAAAGGGTAAAATGCAAAAAATACTCCGGTAATAATCCTTGATTTCATTTTACTCCTCTATGTTTACAGATTTTACTTAATTCCCTCTATTTAAGAATAAATTGTAAATCTAACAGAATTAATTTATCGTAAAAGCAAGTTAATTTCACGTGCTAATTAAGAGCGTATTATAAAATAAATAATTTTTTTTTAAATTAAAAAATTAAATTACTAATTTTACCCTTCATCTTCTTCTCTACAGACTTACAAATTCGTTTTTGATCAGTTAAACAACTTTTTTTTATCAAATCTAATGTCATTTTTAAACTACTAGACCTCAAATTAACTAAACTCAACCCCCTTTTTAAGCTTTAATAAGTTTTTCAAAATTTTGATATTCAAATTTCCAAATCTTAATGGGTTTTTTCACTACACACACTTCGGTCTTGGCTTTTAAGCACCCCCAATACGGTGTACTACAACCCAATAACACACACCAAACCTCAATTGAGGAAGAAATGATCATTTGCTATGTAACTCATTTGAAAATTTAATTATTACTTTAAACTTCAAACACAAATATGAGCACACAACAATATAAAACTTAAATCTAGTCACACCATTAAGATCCTCATGGAAAAATAAGTCTGATCAAGTCGTTTGTTAGTTGTAGATGTTATTTTTTAAAGATAAGGGTTCCACAATAATGACATCACAAATAAAATTTGATTGCAATCAGAGAGGTAGTTTAATTTTTTTATACAAACTATTACCTCCGTTAACATTTGTAGTTTGTTTACAAATTAAAAGAGATTAAATAAAACCCGTAAAAGCAGAGAGAGTAAAGTGAGATCGAGACTTAGTATATAATTTTTTTATTTTTTTTGTGCATTTTACCCATAGGATTAATTGCAGAGTCCACAAAATATGAGATTTATCTTATTTTGATCTATAATATTTTAATTATCATTTTAATTTCTAAAATATTGAGTATCTATAATATAAAACAAAGGGTGTTTCAACAAATTGATCGGACAGTCACAATTCATTTCATCCGACGGCCAGTAGTAATCTTTCATTCCCCTAAAATTTAACTTTTTTTTCACTCATTATTTTTTAAAATCAAACCAACCTCAATCACTTCTATTTGTCAGAGATACAGCCTCCCCTACATCCCCTACATCGCTGGTGGTCTCTCTCAAGCCATGTCTCTCTAACCGGCAGTCCTCTATCTCTCTCTTTCGCCCCAGCGACACCACCGGCGACACCACAATCCAGGTACCCATATCTCTCTATCTCTGTTACTTTTGTCTACTTTCTCTTTCTCTTCTCCCTCTGGTGATCTTTCCCTCAAACTGTCAGTCCTCTCTCTCTCTCTCGCCCCAGCGACACCACCATCGACACCACAATCTAGGTACCCTCTCTCTCTATCTCTGTTACTTTTGTCTTCCTCTTTCTCTTATTCCCCTGTCTCTGTTCCTATCCTTCCTCTACCTTTCCCCTCTCTCTGTGACACTCCACCTAACCTTGCCATAGCGACATCGTCTCCACAACCCAACCCAACCCCGTAGCCCAATCTACCTTTGCCATCACCACTGTATACCATCAAAGGCTCAACGTCATTGCCATTGAGCCTAACCTCCATCCCTTCTTTCCTCTCTATAGTCACAACTATGGCCCCATGGATGTTCGATGAAATGTCTCAATGACTGTCTTATATCTATTCTTTTTAATTTCTCTCTTTGGATTTAATTAGATGGTTCAATGATAAACATTTTGGCTATGAATTTCAGTAGTGTTGTTTTCAAGGATTTTTTTTTTTGTCAGTGCTACGACATCATAAGTGCATTGATTTCTATGGCATTGTCATTGTTGTGAAAATGGGGAGTCAATTGGGCTTTACTTTACCACAACCACTGCTACTCTCTCTCTTCCCGATGGAATGTGATTTTTTCTTTTTCAAAGTTATGGTTTCAGGTAAAGTTTTCATGATTCCATGTTTTCATGAAAATATTCTCTTAAATTGATCTCATGTTTTTTCCTTATGTCATTGACGCTAATGAAATTGATAGTTTGTGACGTTGATATTTTGTGTTGGATTTGCCTTTGTCTTATGTCATTGGCTTTGTGTTTTTTTCTGTTCACCATTGATTGTATTCTTTCTCATTCCCTTGGGGTACAACTGGATTCCAACATAACAGTATTTGAAGGAGAGAATATGGGGATGAATTCATGGCTACAATCACGTGTAATTCGGTTGCATTTTGTGTTTGGTGTAGACGTTTTTTTTTTTTGTTATTTGAATTAAATGGGTGGCGTGCATGTGTTTGTGTTTGTTTATGTGTGTGTTTTGGTTTTCTCTTTTGGGCCCTCTTTTTTTTGTCAGTCTACAGTACATCATTGTGGGTTTATATCAGCAGTTTATACTTAATTGTTAACTACTTAAGTTGCCACTTAACCCATTTTGTATGTCAAGTTACAATTATGTAGTGTTTGAGGTTTATCTTAGCGAGAAGGAGTGTCCATCTCTATGTCAATATGTTTGTGTGTGTGTCAGGGTCTGCGAGGGGGTGTGGGTAATCAACCCTTCTTGACCTACTATTACATTAAATATACAAGCAACATGTTTGCTCGCAATGGTGTTAAGAAATTGTCTAGAACTTAACATTTTTCGTTCACCAAGCAAGAAAGAATATCTGAATTTGATATAGATAGTGGAATCCATTTCTATTTGATTGACAAAGTTGTGAAGAACTAATTTTGTGTCTGGGTTAAAGTCTCATATTGATCTGAATGTGCATTAGTGGATTAAAAAAAATTGGGGGTTTTGACTGCTGAGAACTTGAGTGAAAGTTATACACTAAAGTTGAGTTTGATTATATATAGTTCTTAAGTTTTACTATTTCTAAGCGGCATTTTTAATAATTTTAGTTTCTTAATTTCCTATTATGTGGAAATAGTTTGAAGAAACTTTTTATTACTATAACTCATGTGGTTTTTACTGAGGAACATAGATTATTTGGGTAGAGAATGCTTTTAATCGATCAAGATTTTCATAATGGCGGAAATCAGTTTCTCTTTGATTTCTCTCGATTTTCCTTTGTGTGCACATGTCTCAAGTGTGTTGTATCTGATTTACCTATTTTTTATCTTCTAATTCGAGTTCGTGATTTCTTTAAATAAAGAACAACATGATTGAGTAGTGATTGGGGGATGTGGAAATTAGATTACAATGCCAATGTGTTGTATGGCCATAAGTTGCAATATTTTCTATTTATCGCCATGTTTTCTTTAAACACATGTTTTCATGAAAAATAACTCTCAAGCAATCTAAGACGTAAAAAGTTCAAGATAAGTTAAAAATTTAAAATCTTTTGTCCCTTATTATATATAAGGTAGCATTGAGAATTTTGTCCCTACATCTTATTTTTGTTCATTTATAGCATATCACCTATTTTTATCATAAATTAAATAATTTAATTTAGACATTGTTAATGTACAATATTATACATAACTCTCTTTTCCCCCATTTTCCCCTAGGAGGGTACCCTTGCATTTCCAAACAGATCTCTGTGGGCCTGCTATGAGGATACTATTGCATTTAGCCTTATTCTGCAATGAACATAACAATTATTAATTTAGTAGAAAATTCGAACACATATATTTGAAGGATAGTGGAAAATTCAAACATATATTTCAATTCTTCCTCATGTCATTTGAAAATTTAGTTGGATTGAAAAAAATAGCGTGACAGTTGATTTAATGCTATATTAGTTAACCTAAATAGTCGAAGTGAAGTTCAACTCAATTAAATGTGCATGCTATGTCTTTTTTTGCAAAATTTTTCCCCCTTTTATATTATAGATTTTGTTATTGTTTGTCTATCACTATTGATTTTTGGTGTGTTTTATGGTTCTTCCATTCCTTTTATTTTCTCACATGTCTCTTTCTCTCACACACTCAACGCATAGAACCCCCCAACACACGCACACACACTCACACTCACATACAATTACACACACTATTGGTTTGATTATGTTCACTTTGAATTAGGTGTTTACTCAAATCTGCAGGTATGCAAGGTATTTGATGGTTTGATTGTAGCCCTTATAATGTTTCTATGCAATGAATTTTTTTTTTTCAATTGGAGGGATTGTTTTTTGTATTGTTTGTTGTTGCAATAGGGGCATGGTAAAAGATTGATAAGCAGAACATTATTAGGTATTATTTGACTGTAAATGCTAATAGAATATACTTTTTGTTATTTTTTAGTGGAGGTTCAAGGTTTTATTTTAATTTTTTTTGCTTGAGTTCAATTTTAATAATTTAAGTTATAGTTTGTGGACCTTTATATGGTTCTTCATGCTTTTATTGGTTTTGATATGAGCAAAATTTTTTATGGTTGTATCAATAGATTGGGGAATGGTTCCATTGCAAGTTTTGAGTTTGTTTTCCATCGTTTTATTGGAGAATCTCATAATGTGACCATGACACAATCAGAATATGAGATTTTTGCTATATATACATTGAGTTGAACTCCTAATTTTCTTGATTAATGAAGCTTGCACATCAACATTCAAGTATTGATTCTTTTTTATTTTTTGTTCACTTTGAATATTTGCAAGATTTATTCTCTCTAATGAACAATGATTTATCTGCGCTAATTATTTTTTAATTCTATGCGAGACGAAAATAGAGGGGTTCTCAGATTCTTAGAACTTCAAATTCACTTTCGGTACTGGCACCCACATAATATGCACACATATATAAGGTAATAAGAAGATCTTTACAAGAGGTTGATATATATATTTTTTTTGTGTTCTATTTTTAAAGAAAACTTTGTCAAATTTTTAAATATTAATTGTGGGTTTAAATTGGTTTAAATGGATTCTAGAGGAAAAGCAAGAGGTCTTGCAT